CTGAATTTCCTTTACCCAGCCTAACCTATAGAGCAAAAAATCTAAACGATCTTTATAGTGTTATTCGACGTAGTTGATTACTAAAAAGTGCAAAAAACATTGAAAACCGCATTTTACTCCAAAAATCAACAGATTTCAAAATATTTCGTAATTTTCTAAAAGGTTATTTCTAAAAGCGCGTAAAATGCTCTAAAATGACTATTACATGGTGAGAAAATAGGAACAAGCCCCCCCCCCGCTAATGGACCAGCACCACCAAGGTTTACAGGATTGTGAAGAAGTCGCGCAGTTACCCCGAAGTTTTGAAAAACGAGAGAGAGAGAGAGCGAGAGAGAGAGGGAGAGAGGGAGCGATAGAGAAAAGCAGAAAATGTTATCAATGCTCCACGAATGACTGGCGCCGTCAGAACCAGCTGATTCAGAAACTCCATCCGCTACTGGTTACCCCCCAACCCGACGATGATCTATAAAAGAGGGTGTAGCGCGAGACAATTTAGCAGCGGGAGCATCTACAAGAGGGATGGAGTCTGCTAAGGAGCTCTCCACCCGATACGGACGATCAGAGGGGCCTTGCGGCAGTAAGTTTTCTTTTATTCCTCGTTTTTCTCAATCTCTAAAACGCTCCAAATAAAAAAATGACTCAAAAACGTTTCTTTTAATAATATAAAACTTGCAGGGCGGCGTTCCTGGCTGTCGCAACATCGACGGCGGCCATTGTCACCAGCGATTGTGACGCTGCCAATGGTATATTCTTATGTCCAATCCTTCCAATCGCATCTCTCGTCCTCGAAACCGACTTCTGCAGGGTTAGCGCAAAGGCCGTAAGAGTGCTGGTTCCATTAGCGAAGGGGGACCAGGATTTTCCTGGTCCGGCCAGTGCCCAGCCCCCAATGGTGAAGGAGAAGGCTCATTTTCATAGCCTTTTATGCCTTTTTTAGATCAAAACGTCCTATAAAAACCAGAAAATTTTCGAAACATTATGAACGATGGCCAAAAATCTATTTATGAATCTTTTCATTATCTTTGAGTAGTAGAAAACTACGAAAAACACGAGGAAAATAGTTTATGTTTTATTACTATTTAGGTTGGGCCTGGGAGCAAAGAAGGCTGCCCCCGCTAACGAGCCAGAACCGAAATACCCCGATTCCGGCCTACCACAAACAAAATCCTTCCCGTTTCCAGTCTCGCGCCCGCGATACGCGGTCCGAGATGGAGGTGACCCACCGGCAGCCGCCAACGCCGTGAAACCGGCAGCTGGATCTTCGGACAGTTCGTCCCACAAAAGCGGACAGGGCGGCGGCTGCAATGAAGGAGGTGGCGGTGGAGGGGAGGCGGTAATGGAGGGAGTAAGCTAAAAAAGCTAGCTAAACCCTCGATTCCTAGGGTGGCGGCTCTGGCGGCGCTACGGCCCCGTGGTCAACGCCGAACCCGGACCGACCTGCTGCGCCTGCCAACAAGGAGTCGCTGGACCTCCCGGGCCCCCCGGAACGATGGCCCACACGGGAAATGATGGGGCCCATGGTCAGCAAGGCGCCCCGGCCAAGATGGCCAAATCTTGAGCTCGGCCATCCCACTCGCTAGAACCGTGCATCATCTGCCCGATGGGCCCACCCGGGCCCACCGGTCAGCAGGGACCCAAGGGACCGCCTGGGCCCAAGGGCAAGTCGGCTGAGCGGGCTGAGGATGGTAAGAGGGGCGACAATGGTATGACCGGGCCGCAGGCCGCCCGGAACCATCGGCGAGCCCGGACCCTTCCAGGACCCCCCGGACACAGCCTGGTCGTGTTATTCAGGTCAATTAGGCCCTCGTTCTTCTTAGAACAGGAGTTGATCCCCGCCAACAGCATAATACCGATAAAATTTAGGTAAACGGCCCCGCCGGTCCAACCGGACCCCGTGGACCTAAGGGACCCACAGGACCTCGTGGACAACCCGGTATTGATGGCCGTACTGAGGTCGGAGATATGGGACCTGTTGGTGAGCCGGAGGGCCCGGGCCTGCTTGCCAAGCGGGCCCATTGGACCTCCTGGACCGCCCGGACCAACCGGTAAGCGAAGAAAATTATGTGAAGGAAAGAATTCTCCTCATTTTCCTAAAACTGCGGCACCCAGGTGGCGAAAAGGTCTAAAAACTCTCTTTGCCGAACACCTTGAAAACTTTCAATCAGAGAATTTGAGGAATTTCTTAGGGAAGATTAATTTAGGGAAAGAAAAACGATTTTTTTCAGGCGAGGAGGGCTCATGCGACCATTGCCCCGAGCCGCGCACACCGCCCGGCTACTAACAAGCATCGGATCTCGGGGACCACTCGGCCCGGTGGTCCCATTTCCGACGCTCCCTCTCACCATCTGACAACTGCCTCGCTCGCTCACATCTGTACATACATTTTTAATCGTATTTATTTCACATGACTCGGCCCGTTTTATAAAGATTTGCCCGCTATTCGTTTACGGCACAAAATGAAAATATACAGTATTTCGGCCCTTGGTTCTTTAGGATTACTTACCCACCCCCCGAAATACTTTCCCCCGGAAATCCCAGAAGAACCCGGCTCTTTGTAGAAAATTTTATCATCTTTATAAAATTTTGAACAACAAAAGAGTTTGCAAATTAACAAAAAAGAAAAAAACAATCCGTTTTCGGCGTTCCGAGCACAACTAACGGCGCTATTTTCGTCATAGGGTTGTCGCGGAAACGGCAAAGCAGTCGTAAAATTCTCGCTTTTTTATATGAAATTTCGATTTCTCGCAAAGACTTTTTTATGAAATTTCATAATTTACAAAAATCAAAAAGTTTTGAACTTTAGAATCGAGCAAATTTGTATAGGCAATCCTATTGACCAGATTGCGACCTGTTTTCGCTTGCGTAACCTATCTTTTCGCCCTCTCCGCCTTGTCTGACCTTGACAGCCTTTTCCTGAGTGCCGGGAACTGTCCGAATTCCAAAATTTCATCCGTTCTGCGTACCGTTGCTTTCTTCTTTTAGTTCTACGTTTCATTTAACTGAAATTCTGAACAATGAATTACCATTCAGGGTCCGATGAGCGTCCAACCGGCGGATTATGATTCATTTGATGAAGACGATGGCCAACGAGATCAAAAGAAAAACGCAGGTATAGAAATTCAACGTTCGCGTAGTGGAATCTAGCTGCAAATGACTCTTTCGACGATCCTCCCGTTGATAATTTGGCGGTGTCTTCTCAGCAACAAACTACTGAGGGCCCCTTCAAGTCGGCGTCTGGCCATGACGGTTCATTTTGTAAGCGCAAACTTATGCCTTTTTTTAGTTGCAGTTGGCTCGGCTCGTATGGAGCAACCGGTAAGGATAGTCCCGAGTCCTCATGTCATCAAGGCAACCGGAGATGTTGAAAAGTAAGGTGAAGCTGTCTGGGTTTATTTTTGAGCTCCATATTTTGTTTAATTGAAGATTAACGTAATAATAATATCATTAAGGCCCACAGTGAGCGTCCGGCCGGCCGACGATTCGTTTGATGACGACGACGGCCCATCAAACCGAAAAGAGGATCCAGGTATGACAATTCTCCGGTTGTAACATGATTTTTAGTTGCCTATGATTCTTTTGACGATGACGACGGCAAATTGGACCAAAAAGAGAATGAAGGTACGGGAATTTAACCGGAATAATGGTGAAATTTAGCTGCTCACGACTCTTTTGACGATCTTCCTGATAATTCGGCGAGGTCTTCGCAGCAACAAGCTTTTGAGGGATTCAAGTCGGCATCGGGCGATGACAGTAATTCTATGTGGAGAATTTTATAGTTATTTAGTTGTAATTGATACGGCTCGGCTTGAGCAGGCGGCGAAGATAATGCAGAATCCTGATCTCAGCAAGGCAACAGGAGACTTTGAAAATTAAGGCGAATCTGTCTAGATAAAACTTTGCATTTTAGGTTGCGTCCTGCCTCTACTCCATATTTCAAGGGTGCTAAGGCGGGTGGCGATTTCCAACCTCCGTAAGTATGAATTGGTTTTTGAAAAGACAACCAATTCAGGCTGGCGAGTAAATTGCAAAGCCCAGACCCGACTACTTCTTCGAAAAGGGCCAGATTCTCGAATACATCGTTCAAGTCTCCATTGGTGTCTGGTAACTTGATTTCCCTCTCTTTTACCAATTTTCTAGCCCACGAACGATCCTCGGCGCTGGATCCGGCTGCGTTAGGCAACGATCTGAGTAAGCACAACATTTTTTTGGCGAATTCTGCTTTAGCCCCCAAGCGAAAGCTGCCGCAGCGCGATGTTGCCAACCGAATCTGAAGCCGCCCGATCTTCCCTGCCACTTTGTTCTACAGTCTTTGGTTTGATTGTACATTTTACAACCTGATAATTAGTCGCTAAAATTCCAAAATCACCGGTTTCCACCCAATTGTGATCTCTATACATTAACGTGTTTCTATTTCGATCCGCATGGTCCAACGCTCTTTTCAATTTCGATTTTATGTGCTCGAATTAACGAATACCTTTTGCCTCTCGGAACATAAAGAGATTTTCCGGATCTGGTTGACCTCAATTACTTGTTTTTATGCGGTCCGCCCCCCAGGGGAAAGCGGCTGACCGATATCAGCCGGTTGCTGTGGTAAAAACTGCGGGGTTTTGGGGAAGGAGTCCGCTTCAGTCATACCAGCTGCAAAATGTGGAAGCCGGATGCGAGAGTTTTGACTGTCTGCTCAACGGTTATTTCTACGTTTGCCCTTTTCGCTATTATTATTGTACTCCCCATCTTGCATACCCGGGTCCAGAAGACGACGAGTCTTTTGCTTGCTGGGGTTGATTTGTGCAAGGTAGGGTGCTGGAAACTGGAAGAACCTCTCGATAACGCTTTTAGCTTGAATCGCGGGACATATGGAAACAAGTCACTGTGATTCCCGGAAGGCGTGAAAAACGACAATATGCTGAAGGAACTAATGGTAGCGAAGGATTCTGGATCAAAAATATAATTTTTTTAGGGGTCGGGTCCAGGAAAAGACCCGCAATTACTTGCTGCTCGTGCAGCCAAGGACAACCAGGACCACGAGGAGACCCGGGCCAGGATGGGCAGCCAGGTATTGCAGAACACACGAAAAACAGGCGCTGGATTAGGTATTGATGGAAAAGCTGGAGATCCGGGAAATGATGGGAGCACTGGGACCTATCTGCCAGCTCCTCCATCCGGCTCTACTGCCTGTCAAAAGGTTGGTTGCATCAGAGCTCGAGCGGTTTTGCAAATAGCAATCGAGGATCTGTTTGAAAGAATATCTGTTTTACACCGTTTTTTAGTAGTCCTAAACGTAAAAAATCACAAATTTTTATAAAAATACAACACTATAGATTTTGCGACCAAATTTGGACGAAATTTTAGATTTAATAACTGTTTTATCGGTTTTCTAAACTGTCTCCCACTTGAAATGTAGCGAAATTTCATCAGAAATGCCAAATTATAGGAAACACTAGAAAAAATCATCATTTAGTGTCCGCCCGGCCCGCCCGGCCCACCCGGAAATCCCGGAGCAAAAGGCGCTCGCGGACCAGCAGGCCATCGCGGGAAATCAGGCCGCCCCGGCGAAGGAAGCAGATCGGGCCCACCTGGGCCCCCAGGGCTTCGCGGGGAACCAGGGCCACCCGGGGCCCAAGGGTTCATTGGGTGATCGCGGCAAGGTGTTGAACGGCGCGCCACCGGAGCCGCGGGGCCCTCGGGGAGGTTGGGACCTCGAGGGGCACCAGGGGGTAGGGGGCACGATGGGAAGCCCGGGATGGGTGGTGTTCAGGTGAGAGGTTCCGGAAACACTCGTAAAATTAAAGATTTTTAGGGAATCAGAGGGGCTGTCGGGAGCCGCGGTGACGATGGAAGCACTGGGCTTATGGGGCCGCAGGGTCCGAAGGTGAGCTTGATAATGACTTAGTATTTGATACGTTTTCAGGGTGATTCGGGGATGCCGGGCGGATGCGGGCATTGTCAGGAGAAAAAGCCCGAGAAATCGGCGGCAGACATTCAACCGGCTGGTTACGATTATGGAGTTGCGGCGGTATGTTTTTGGATAGATTTCGGGATTGTCAGAACCTCGAATTCTTAGTATGACTCCAGAAATGCCTCGTAATGTAATAAAACAGGATTTGAATAGCCTTTTTAGTACAATGTAGCTGTATGTCAATTGGAAAACTAATCTCAAAAAGGTAGCAATTAAGAAATCCAAAATTTTGGTCGAAAATCGCTACTTTTTTCGTGCTTTTTACTAAAACTTCGTGAATTTATGTTCTATAAAAATAGTAGAAATATTATAGAAACAATTCTCCTATTCAATATTAGTGAAAACAGATCCTAAACAAAAAAGTGGGTCCCCCGATAATCTGAAAGAACCCCTAGGGATTCTGAAAATTCGAGATGTTATTTTCGAGATTCCGATAGATAATTAGATATTTATATGTTTTTAGAAACTTGACCGTTGATTTTTGAGCTTTAGAATTATACTTAACCGTTTTTTTTAATTCTCAGGCTCCACCAAGCCAAGCACCACCCGCCCCGAAACAAAAGAAGCATCGCCGACCCTCAACCAACGCCCCACCACCAACCGACCATGGCCAATCGCCCGGTTCATATTGGGGATTCTGAGAATAAATGGGGTCCACCCGGGGCGCGGCCGGGGATTCCGGCTGCCGGAAAACTCCATCGACCCGGAAAAACAAACACAGCAAGCATACACATGGAGCGGCCGGTTGGCGAATTCGATTTGGGCGATGCGAGGGGAGCCACCCGGGTCTCCGCCATGGGGTCCCCCAGGGCATTTAGGGGAGCTCCATCTAAACGTTCTCCCCGCGAGCTGCTGCTGCTGCTCGAGCTGTTTGTCGATGGTTCCCGGGGTCACTCCAAGCTGGTTAATAATCACATTTTGCAGGGTTGGAGGTCATTTTCTATGGCCCCGGGGCGTTGAGATTAAAAATCCTGGTACTGGGTTGTTAGCGGGGCGGGGACGCGATCTACCCATACCTACCTAGCAAAAATGCTAACGTTTTGTGGCGTATTTTGATATGCTGTGGCTCTACTGTATCCACAAATTTTTTGGTACTGGGCTGTTAGCGGGGGGTGGGGTTACCTTGCCTCTACCTACCCATCCAAATGTCTTAAGATTTTGATAATGTGTTTTTAACCGCATTTAGTCGGTTTTTGATTACTAAGGATTAGAAAAAGGTTTTTAGACAATTTTAAAACTTAGTTTTCATCATTTTTCATAGATTTTTGGAAAAAAAAAACAAAAATTGGTTGGTGCGTTAGCGGGGGGGGGGGGGGGAAGGATGGGCCACGCTCACATGATTTTGCTTTGCTTTCCTTTCCGGCCACTGGAGGCAGATCCAGATCCCCCCCCCCCGCAAATGAACCAGAACCCAAAGATTTTCAGTAGTTTTTTTCCATAATTTATTATGAACTTTTTGTACTTCTCCACATTTAAATTCGCTTTAAAACGGCGTAAAAAGCTAGCCGAATCGTGTGTATTACATTACAAAAGTTGTCCCCCCACGCTAACAACCCAATACCCCAATCCCTTGATTTCCACGATTTATGGCTCAATGCGCGGTGATGAAGCTGAAAAGGTTGGATGGGGGTAAATCGGCTTGAGCATTCCGGGGTGGGTCCTCTCCTCTCCACTCGTCCATTCAGCCGGTGAATGGGCCCAAAGTTGCCTCTGCATTTCCCATCATAGCCATCCCCAGCCAGAGCTCCTCGCCTGGCCGAATCCGCGGCCCAGCCCCAATTTCATATCGGGCCCCGCAGCGTTGAACGGGTGACAGTCAAAGTAAATTTGTTGTGTCCTGTTGCATTATCGGGGGGTGTGGCGCGGGGGGTATAACTAAAGGAAATATCGAAAACACCGATTTTTCGACAAAAACGGTCAATTTTCGACCAAAAACGAAAAAATCGAAAAAAGAGTCGATAGTCGAAAAACGACAACCGATAAGATGCCTAAATTACGTTATTAAGCTTTACTGGGCGTCTAGGAAAAATTCATCCCCCCGGTAATGCCAAAGCACCGCCATGCCATATTCATCCATGGCCAACCCTAACCGAGGCCTTAGCCTAAGCCCAAACCCAAAGCTAACCGAAGCCTCACCACAAGTCTAAGCCCAAGCCCAAACCTCGGGCTCACCTGAGCGTAGACCTGTGTCTAAACCTGAAGCCAAGCCTAAGCCAACCTAAACCTAAGCCTAAGCTGAAGCCTAAGCCCAAGCTGAAGCCAAAGCCCGAGCCTAAGACCTAAACTAAGCGCAAGCCTAAGCCCTACGCAAGCCTAAGCCCGCCTAAGCCAAGCCTAAGCCAGGCCCAAGCCTACGCTTAAAGGGCGTCTGGCAGCATGCCCCTTTTTCCACGACTCGTGGAAGCGTCGCGGTCGGGTGCGTCGCGGCAGGGAGAGAAGAGCGCGCCCAGAGGAGAGACGCAGACAGAACTCTGCGTCTCTGCCCGGTCCCCAAAATGCCGTAATCGGTGTGCTGCCAGAGCCGCTTTAAGCCCACGCCCAAGTCTAAGCCTAAGCACTTACCCAACCCAACTTATTAGGCGTTTCTTTTGGTGGGTCCCTCCCTAGGATAGCTACTAGTTAGAGGATATGGATTCAAGTGGTTGAAGAGAATCTCTCTCTCTCTCTCTCTCTCTCTCTCTCTCTCTCTCTCTCTCCCTCCCTCTCTCTCTCTGTATCTCTCTCTCCATTAGGGACAATGGATGGCTGCCGGGGCGGAATCCCGATGGCTGAATGACCAATCCGCGCACTTCCCCTCCAACCCTTAGGGCCCAACAGGACCCAAGAGGGCCCAGGTGAGGGGGGGTGGAGCTTCAGACACCGGGTCATTCCTCGGTCGTTCGATTATTATTGTCAAGTGTATTTTTATCTTTATTTTTTCACGTTATGCTTTTGTATACAAAATTATTTTCTCCATTTTTTTTTTGTTTTTTTTTCCTTTTACATTCACTTCCACAGTTTCCTAGAAATCTAATCAATATTATTTTCATAGTTTTTGGGTTCTTTTACATTATCGGGGGGATTGGAGGTGTCTTGCTTTGTAAATTCCGCCAATTTTGTAGTGTAAAAAGAAAAAGGTGTAATTTAGAAACTAACGTTCTGCCATCTGATGCGGTTAATTGAAGCGGCACTCTGATGATCAGCTCATTTCTCAGTCTACCACTCTCCCATCGGCAGCGAAGGTAGAGCTTATCTATAGCATTACGCCACGCTACAAAAGACACCCTTCTTAAAAACCATAATTATTTTGGAGCTGGTTGCTTCGCGGGGGGGGGGGAGAGAAAACGTAACTTTATCCGATGTTCCCGCAGGAAAAAGCAGCATTTGTCGCCGTTTTTCCATATAGTTCGTTCATAAACATGAAAAAAATATTACACTTTGGAATTTTCGGATTTATTACTCACTCCCCCCCCCCGCTAACGCACCAGAACCGCTCTTTTTAGGATACTACGCAGATTGCGGCGGTTGTTGTGCGGGCGACGCTTGCCGCAGACGTGGAATACTGTACTTTGTCTCCTGTCAATCCACATGTTTGTATTTTTCTATGCTCTTAGATACCTGGAAGCTATAGGTACCTCACCGTACCCGTCATTTTTGCGGCCGGAATTATTGAATGCGAGCTGAAGGGATTGTTTCGACCCTTTAAGGCAGGTTTTTCATTTTTCTAAAAGAGTTTTTGTGTTTTTTTTGTGGCGCAAGTTGTTTTTAAGCTTTTTGGAGTCTATACTCTGTGGTAAAGGAATTCTAGGAATTCTAGGAATTGCAAGAGCGCGGCATTTTGCTGGGCGAAATCGACGAGGACGTGTTTGATGTGTTTTATGCAAATGAGGACGCCGAATTGGATTGAAATGACAATTCTACTACTGTTGCTTACGGGTCCGATAAAGCTCAATATTTGACAGCGAGAGAAGGAATACCGACAACAATAATAAAAGTAATGGACTTATTATTTCACGGGTCGGCGATATCGGGCTATTTAATTCTGGTAAGAGTCGGCCACCGCCAAAATGTCTATGAAAAATTTTGGTATTTTCGCATTATCGTGGGGGGGGGGGCAACTCTTTTCCAGCATCCAATTTTTATAATACAAATAAAGGTAGTGTTTCTAAATTGTTTTTACTATTGCTAAACGCAAAAACTTTACAAAAGTTTACTAATCAAAAAAAAATACCGATTTCTCAAATTAAAAAAAAAACTAGATTTTCTACTTAAATGCGGAAGTTTTAAAAATTTTTAAAAGTTTTTAGAAGTTTTCCACTCGAAATATGTTTAGATTTTACTAAAAATACGATTATCATACTTATAAAACGTTACTAGGCATTTTTGGTATAGGAAAAATTCAGTCGCCCCTCCCCCCGATAATGCCAAAGTACAATTTCGTCGTTATGCCCCGGTTTTCTTTTCTTTTCCTTTCCATCCGGTGGTGGTTGGGGAGGATAAACATAGCCATGTCAGGGGGGTCAGCTGGCCCTGGCTCAATTCCCCGCTACTCCCCCTTTTTTCCTTTTTCCGTTTTTTTTTCCGGTGTGTTCCCCTTGCTTCTCTATTTTCTCCTTCTCTTTTCAATCTTTTTCCATTGCCACTCTTCTCCCTAGTCACCATCCCCCCTTCCGATAGCGCCTTTGCGGGTGGGGGCAGAGAGCCCATTTTCAGGTTTTGCACAGCCTCCCCCATTTCCCATTTTCAACGTGCAAATAGCCATGGATCCGGGTTGTTTTCTTGGTGATTTTAAGTGGTAAATTGTTACTTGACCTTTCCGGAGTATGTTTCCGGTTTTTAATACTTTTTATACGTCCTTTACCTACTCTCGATATTTTCGCAGCTTTTCTTGCTAGATTTTTAACTTTTGGCCAGGTTTCCGGTTACCTGAAATTTAAAAACCGGCCTGCCTCGTTAGAATATCCTACTATATATAAAAAAATAGTGTCTGTGTGTGTGTGTATGTGTGTGCATTTGCATGCAACTTCCGTCAGCGTGTTCCAGTAGTATCTCAATAGGGTAAGGTTTTTAGGAAATGTATGATACGTCATTAGATGCGTAATGGCTCCGAGATGACTGCACACATATCATATCTCGAAAACCATGTTGTTTTTGACAATAAAATCAAGTTTTTGTTAAAAAATCGGGCACCCTCTTTGTTAGGAAACAATTTGCATGCGCCGGAAGTGGCGATAGCCTATATAATGGCGGAGAGGGGGCGTTTTTCATTATTTCTCATTGCAATTCGGGAGAATTATGCAAAGGTGGGGTAGACGGGGCCAGGGTTGAAAAGTCGCGAAGCGGCTTTTCAACCCTGGTATCATTTCAAAAAATAAACAGGTCAAATAGCTAGAGAGCTACTCCTAATCTTTCTTTTGGCTCCTCTAAATACTTTTCTCACTTTTAATCCAGGTTTCTGGCTGATTTCTATCGACAATTCTCAGGTTTTATCATAAAATCTGCTTTTTATTATGTTTCCTAAATTCTCACACTTATTTTTTATTGTTTATTGTATTTTTGTTAATTTATTTTGTCACTTTTTGTCCAATTCAGCTTTCCACAGCTCGTCAAGCCTCCCACGACGAGTTTACCCAGAACTATGAGCAGCAAAATTGGAGCTGGTTCGATTTTAAAGTTTTTAAAAACTATTTAATGTTTAATGTTTTAAAAACCTTTGCCTTTGGAACTTGCAAAAAGTTATTTGAATCTTCGCGCCCGCCGCTGACGCCTCTACTTTGCTGACAGCCCATCAAAAAAGGGAGTCAGCGTTGCTGCCGTTAATCCAAGCGATAAGCGGCGCCTCACCTAGGTGTTCCCGAATTTCACAGAAAAGAACAGAAAAACGGTGCTTTGGCATTATCGGGGGAGGGGAGAGGATCGTGTTTTCTTGAAAACCAGCCTTTTTTAGTCAAAATCGACATTTTTCGTATTTTTTTTAGTAAAAAAAAAAGGGAGAAACAGGTCCGTTCTCCGTATTTGAAAATTGGCTATTAAAGAGGAAAGTTGCCCCCCGGTAACGCGAAAGAACCGGAACAAAAGCAAAATTTTAACATTTTCCATACTTCAGCACACAGCCTGCGGATAGAAGTGGAAGCCGTTGACGTGGAGCTGGACGAGGATGGGAGTATCTCGCATAGCTCGCTTCAATCCGCCTTTCCAGGTACAAGACAGTTAATTTTTGTTTATAAAACGTATGCAGGTTGTTCTGGACTGTACTACAAGGGTACCGACTGCCGGCGGGCCGTCAGATTTGACGGGAAAAAGTTCCAGCCGCCGGGTGGAGCGTGGAATGATCGGTGGGTGATTTTAGGGATTTCAGCCAAAATACCGACACCCGAATGGCGAGTGCAAAATCCCGACACCCCAAAGGGGTTATAGGTCATCGGTAGCCCCCCCCCCCCTTAAGAGTACAGTCCCGTAGTAGATAAAACCATTCCCAGATCGTATTTCGTCTCGCTTGGTGCCCGGTGCCACGCCCCATTTGGATCCTACGAAACGGCGAGCAAACAATTCGAAAGATCGGTGACCGCCGTCCAACGGATGCTGGGATCGTCCGTTTTTGGTGGGCCGTCAAGACCAAGCAGTTCAGGCTGATCCATTCAGAAATGCCGGCCAGACGTTCGTTGCGTGAACCAAGGAGGCAGCCAGCGACCGGTGATTGCTCTTCGGCGTCTACGGTTGTAAATGATTTGCCGCAGATTTCTAGCCCAGGTAAGTACAGTCGTTTGGCAGGAATTTAACGTTGTTAAGTTCCATCCGCTCCAGTTTCGCTGGCTGACGGTGCGCGAGAAGATGAAGCCGTTCAAAAGGTCAGTTAGCGGTAGACTTCGAAATTTCGGCGTTATTTTCGAAAATCACTTTTTGTGCTATTTTTTCGAAAGTTTCGCGCTTCTGGCTCGGTTCTTTACCATTATCGGGGGGGGTCTTAATCTAGAAACGTCCAGTAACGTAATAATAAGCGTTTTATTCGCTCTTTTCGTAAAAAATGAAATAAAAACTAAAAATTGTTGCTTTGGCATTATCGGTGGGCCAACTTTTCCCTAAGATCGAATTTTTTTAATATAAACGGCGACAGTGTTTCTAAGCTGTTTTTACAAGACGTACACGCTAAGGATTTACGAATTTTAGTAAAAAATACAAAATAGCTTTTTTCCACCAAAAAGGCCGATTTTAGACCAAAATTTCGAATTTTAAAATTTTTCCTCCCTGCTCGACAAAGAGCCCCCCGATAACGCGAAAGAACCGATTCGCGAAAATGTATAGGTAAATCGCGTGACGGTAATGAAAGTGCCGTTTCAGAAGGAGATCCGCCACCTCGGCGCCGAACGACCATCCGATGGGGATATTCTGGAAGGGATCGAGGAGCGAGGACGGCAGCTGAAATCCGCCCAACGTCGTCTACAGCCTATCGAGCAGCAATTCATCGATTTGGCTAGAATATCGACGGGGAAAGACCAGATTATTGAGGGGCTTCGACAAGAGCTAAAGGCAGCACAGGGTCAAGCTGAACAAAACGCGAGGTGGGTTAGATTACTTAGAAAAGTAGCTTTTGCATTATCGGGGGGGGGGGTCCTTAGGATCCAATTTTTTTCTAAATACAGGACGTGTTTCTTTATCTGTTTTTTTTTTTAATATTCCTAAACGCCAAATTTAGAAATCTTATTAAAAATACAAAGTTACCGTTTTTCGGCGAAATAACGGAATGCGCCCCCCTTCCCCCGATAATGCAAAAGAACCTGAAATCTCTACCAGTTTTCAGGAAACTTGCCGACGTCGAGGGCGAGCTCCTGGCCTGCCAGGGACGACTTGCCGCTCAGGAGGAGGAGTTGAACCTGTTGCGCGGGATGAGCGCCGGGCAGACGAATACTAATGAACGGGTTCGCTTGAAGATTATTCTGATTGATTCTGATTGCTTTATTCTCTAGGTAAGCCAGCTATCCAGTGAACTGCTCCGTAAGGACGAGGAATTATCCTCCAGTCGCGCCGAGGCCGCCCAAAAAATTGCCGCATTAACGAAAGAGGGGCAGGAGCTGAGGGCCAGGCAAGTTTTTTGGTTTTACGGGAGACTCTGGCCTGTTTTTCAGTAATTCTAGCCTCTCCGTACGTCTCGAAGAAGCTAAACAGGCACTCGATGTGCGACGCGTAGACGCTGAACGGCTTGAGGCCGAGAATGAGCAGCTGCTGAAGGAGTTGGACGGGTTGAGGCAGATTAGGGATGAGCTGAAGATTGAGGTATGGGTGCTTTGGCACTATCGGGGGTCACTTTTGGCTTATACAACCCCTCCCCCCCGATGATGGAACAGAACCGGGGTGTGGGAAATTTGGATTTTGGGTCAATAATGTATGAAAGTAGGCGGAAATTTATATTTTTTAATTTTTAAAAACTTTAGCTACCAAAAACGTCAAAAATGCTTTAACCCCCCCCCGCTAAGAGTCCAGCACCATACAATTTTGCAGACTGTGGAAACGGCGGCCGAGTGGCGCCAACGAATGGAACGGCTGATGAAGGTTGGAGAAGATCATCATCGGTTGAGCGAGGCTTTTGAGGAGGTTCGCTCGACTAAATCGTGAAATTTTTTTTAATTTGACTTTTAGATCCGAGGCCAGCACGCCAGCGTGCAGGGCATGGCCGCCCAGTTGACGGAGGACAATACGAGACTGTTGGGGAGTAATAAGGAGCTGAGGGCGAGGGTTGAACTGCTCGAGAACGAGCTCGACATGCTGAACCAAAAGTGGAAGCAGAACTCGGAGACAAAGGAGGCTGTATGGGAGGAGAAGGTGAGGAACTGCTGAAATTCGACGATTTTGGGTACTGGACTATTAGCGGGGACGCTACGCCCACGCCTCTCTAAATAGCCCCCCCCCCGCTAACGAACCGGAACCGAAAATTCGGGTTAGCGATAATTCGCCATTAAATGCACCCGTTTTAGCGCACAACTCTCGAGGCCGAGGTGGAGCGGTTGCGCGGCGAGTTGGAGCAGGTCAGAGGCACGCTCTCGACGGTGACACGCGACGCGGCCGCTTCTGCACAGAGGTTGTTCGCCTCGAATCTATCGCCATGATCACCCACTCAATCCTCAAATATCATTCCCCGGAATGAGACGCATGAATAAAAGGTGTAACGTGTTGTCCGTCGTAGCCCCCTTCGAAACAGCACGTTCCCTTTAAATATGCAAGCATGATACCTCGGTGCTTTTCCATTATCGGGAGGGGCTTAGGAGAGCAATTCTGCCGAAAATAGAGGAAGTGTATGGGAAACTGTTTTTACTACTCCTGAAAAATGCAGAAATATCGATTTTCGACCAGAAATCCATTCCATCAGCCTGGGATAATAGGACTCCCCCCCCCGATAATGCCAAAGCACCGTCACTTTCCTTGTTTGCTCGGATCGGGAACGATTAGCCCTTTCCGGGTACTGGGCTATTAGCGGGGGGGGGGCTCGAAGGAAATGTTTTGGATCTAAAACCGACGCAAAATTATGGCAAAAAATTGAGAAAAATAGAAAAACGGGATTACTAGGGAAAACCCGATCCCCTCCGCTAACAGCCCAGTACCCCTTTTCATTTTCAGAAGCCAAGAGCTAGAGCATTCGCGGGATGAGCTGCGCCGGACACTGGACAGCCTCGAGTATAAGGCCCAGGTTCGTGGGAAGGGCCAGGGCCACGTCTTCACCGGAATTCGCTTCTAACACAACACCACATGTCCAATAATCGAATTATCTTGTATCCCTGCACGAATTATCACTAACCAATAAATTGTCGATACCGGATATGGACGTGAAAATTGGATTTAGGAACCGCTGAAGCGACAGATTCGAGCACTCAGCGAACAATTGGCAGAGAGCCAGCAGCGTTGCAAGGTATGAAAGAGGAATAGAATGTTTATGGTGCTTTGGCATTATCGGAGGGGGCTGTTTCTTTCTACGCTATTTTCTACGCCCAAAGCTTTCTGCAATCACTAGAACAAGGGATTTTACACAGTTTTGGAAATTCTTAAACGTAGGAACTTCACAACTGTTGGCTAAAAACCTAATTATATGTGTACGTTTAACTTCCAGCACCGAATCTGCGTATTTAGGAGCTGAACGGACTCGTCTCCAGCCTCACCTCCGATGCGCGCAACAGCCAGCACGAAGCCGCCGATTTTCTGTACGAAACGGCCAGCCGAATTTGATGGTTTTTGACAGTGAATAAATACTTCCAACTGTTCCGATTTTTCCTATAGACGTTTGGGTTTAATGCTTTATTCCGGAAAGAGGTTAGCTATGATTCTTTCTTGCTGTGCTGCTTCTTGTCGGCCTTCCATTGTCGCTCATTCGATTTGCGCTGTCGTTCGGCGAGTAGTCGTTTCCGTTCCTCTTCGCCTGGGGTCGCTGTCACCGTCGAGGTTCTAAAAAAAAAGGGTCAAATTTTTGAATTTTTTAAAATTTCCAAAATTATTTTTTATAGGGTTCTAGCAACGAAAAACTACTGTATATCATGAACAGCCCTTCCCCGGCTAAAATCTGCCGCTGCTAACAGTCCAGAACCGCCCCACTTGGTCCTAATTTTCATCCTTGTCAGCGGGTTGTCGTCCCTGATGCCGTCGAGGTCGGTCTTGATCTCCTCATCTCCTGGTTGCGGGTCGTTCAGTCCCCATTGATCGGCCAGGTTTTTCCCTGAAAATAAAACTGATCGTAGCAGCTCAGCACAATCGTTGGTACTAGATTCTTAGCGGGGGGAATTTTTCCGAAATTTCGAAATTTTTTTAGAGTTTTAGAGGCCAAAAATGTATGAAAAATGGCCGGAAAACGATCATGATTTTCAAATTTCAAAATTTTACGAGTATTTTGTAGGATTTACCAATCCCCCCCCCCGCTAATAGTGCAGTACCTGAGCGTTTGGAGTCTCTGCCAGATTCGTGTCCCTCATCAGATCCGGGCGGGGATTTGTCGCGCCGCCGCATCTTCCTTGATTTTTTGCCCTTGCGGGAGCTTGGCGCCGGCTTCTCCTCGCTTTTTCCGCAGAATAGGAGCGAGAAGCTGAAACGGTTCGGCTGACTGAAAAGGGCTGGGAAAGGGATGGATTCGGAGGCGGAAAAGCCATAAAAAAGGCCTAGACACTGGGACTTACGTTAGAAAAAGGATGGACATCGGAATAGAGGCCATTGAATAGAATGCGTAGAACATTTCGTACAGTCGGTTGATATAGCTAGTATAAAAAGTATAAATGACGTGTATTCGCTGGGCCTGCACTAAGTCCTTATTATTGAAGTAGAATCGATGTAAATATCTCGCCCATTCAAACTAAAATTTCAGTGCCGAGTCAAAATTAATCGACTTTAACTTAAAGCTTAAACTTAAAGGGATGTCGACGGCATAGTCAATCGGTTACGCGTTCGAAAGAAAATGTCTCTGCGCTTCTCCACGGGGCGCGCTCTCTCCCCTGTTGGCTACTTGCCAATTTGTTGATGAGGGGGGATCGACTCATGCCGTCGGCAGCCCTTTGCGCCAAGCCCAAGCCAAGCCTAACTGTAAAGTGTTTTTACTCAGGCTGGCGTTTTAGGATGGGACCAAGCCTACCCTGTTCAGAATTTTTTGCTGATTCCGAATCCGTTTTCCAAATTTGCTGCCGACTTCGCGTTGAAAAGTCATTTGGGGTCTAAATTAAGCTTAAAAACGGCATAAATTCGGATGCTGGCCCACTATTCCCTGCCTGGGTCCAGGTCTGGTTGTTCCCCTTATCTACCCTCCCGAAGCCCCCTTCCCAGTTGGAACCGTAGTGCATCGGTAAGCTGTTCGCTTGCCAGGCACAGGGCGGCGGTTCGATCCCCGCCCTGCACAATTTCTTTTGCTTTTTGCACAAAAACACATGATTTTTTGCATAAAATCATGCGTTGATCTCTAAAACCGTTACCGAGCCAATTTTAACGTCGGAAGTGACGACAACGTAAAATAACGTTGAAAAATAACGCAAAAAAACAGATTTAGTCAATTTTTTTAGTATGAATATCGAATAACTTTTTAAATAAAGGTCGGCAGCAAATTTGGAAACCAGATTCGGAATCAGCGAAAAATTCTGCACTAGATAGGCTTGGTCCCATTCTAAAACGCCAGCCTGAGTAAAAACACTTTACAGTAAGCCAAGCAAGCCTAAGCCAAACCTCAGCCAAGCCTAAGCCAAGCCTGAGCCAAGCCTGAGCCAAGCCTGAGCCAAGCGTAAGCCAAGCATAAGCCAAGCTTAAGCCTGAATAATAAGAATAGCATCTAAGCATAAATTAACATAACGCATAGCAAGAACCGGAATCTTCCGATGATTTGCACAGGAATGAACGTATTAAAGAAGAGGACACTTCAGCAATTTTATCAACCACCGATTTATACGACCGGACTATTTCTTACTACACCTGAAACGACGACAACTGTTTATGGATCTGGTATGGCCTGTTCGTTGCTCTGGATCCATTTTAGGACCCCGACAACGTGACTATGGAGATGGAATCGGCCGCTATGGACATGTCGGTGGCGCAAGAGGAATGGGAGACCGCCAGCTTCTGTTACAACAAAGAAGTAAATTTTATTATCTTATTTTGTTTATATATTTCTTATTTCTCAGGGCACTGAGAAACCATGGTTCTTTCCCATTATCGGGGGGGGGGATTTATGCTTAGCAATAGTTAGCAATAATGTAGAAATGCATGCGTTATAATTCACGGAAAAGAAAGAGCATAAAATTTTGGCCAAGAAACGGCCATTCTGGCCAAGAAATCGTTATTTTTTTTTGATTTTTACACTAAAAATCACTTTAGAATAATTTTTCTGATTCCATAGGCTGATATAAAATGAGTCTTTTTACGGTTAGGGATATTCAAAGAATTTTAGGAAGTCCTGTTTGATGTTTCAGAAATTGCTTCCTTAGAAAAATCCCCCCCGATAACGCGAAAGAACCCTAGACGCAAACGTCAAAATCAACTTCTCCCACTGGCATCCCCCGCTAACAATACAGAACCATCACTTCTAGTCGTTGGTGATCGGGTTCGTCATCGATGCGCTGTTGGAGCCGTGCAAGGACGCGAATGGGGTTGAGAAGAAGAAGCCGATGGCCGCTTTCATGGCTAAAGTCCCGGTCAGTATTTCGTTCCTGCCGAAAATGGAACTTTCGCATTATCGGGGGGGCGGGGGCGGTATTTTTTCTATGAAAGCCAATAATTTTTCAACTGTAAATCGCCGAAACATTTCTAAACAGTGTTTTATTAGTACTACTAACCGTCAAACTTTACAAAAAAAGTAAACTGCACTTAAAGGGATAGTTCAGCCTCGGAGCTTGGGCAGTACCTTGGGTGTCTATCGACGCAGGGGCGACACATGACTATCGACACAGCAGGCCACCCTGTGTCGATAGACACCCAAGGTACTGCCCAAGACTCCAAGGCTGAACTATCCGTTTAAGCCTAAAATACTTCCTATGAAGTTATTAAGCATTTCTGGACACTCAAAAATTGCCATCCCCCCCCCCCGATATTGCGAAAGCACCCACGAAATCCAACGATTTTTGCAGCCGATGGGAGTCCCGGGTATGCCACTCGATCGCGATGGCGGGAACGAGACCTGCAATCTGACGGAGTTGGCAAGGGCTCAATTCTACAATCTCTACAAAGACCTTGGCGAGGATGGGCTGCAGAAGGTATTCCAATCTTAGGCGAACGTTGAATTTACCCCCTCTTCTTTTTTCTTACCCTTTGATTCTCGACCACAAATTAATGTTTAATGAAAAATTTACCCAATTTTATAGGTAGCTGACGAGTGGTTTGACTCGAAGGAGAGAGAGCTGAAGATGAGGGTCGACGTCGCGGCGGCTGCGCTGAAGTCCGCCCAGGATGTCCACGCCGAAAAGGTACATTTGAAACATTTTTCGGTTCTGTGCTGATAGCGGGGGGGTGTTAGCAGGGGGTAAGCCTCATCTTGTATTTTTATAGTGTGTTTAGTAGTTTTTAGTAGTTTTTTGCGTTCTAGAAAGTTACTAAAATATTTTTGAAAATCCAATGTTTCAGCTCCACCGTTGCTACCTCCTGTCAAAGCACCAGGAAAAGCTCGTCCATGACCTGCGGCTCGACTACCTCGAAGCCAATGGAGGCCCGCTGCCACCCTTCCCGGTTCTCCACGAGGTACATTCAGGCGATGGCTTATCATTAACACACAATCACTTCAGGTGGAGGATGCCGCGGAGTCGGACTTTTCATCCGACCCGAGCCAGGCCAGGCCGCCCTTCGAAGGAACCGCTCGTGCAGATGCCCGCCGCCCCCGTCGCCACTCGCCCTGATTTTCCTGAGCCCCCTCATGCTGCCGTTTTTCCACAAGTCGATGGACAAGCCGCGGCTGCTCCGGGACACGCCACTACTCACCTCGTCGCTGCCGGACCCGTCTTCAAGGCGCTCGCGGCCCTGGGCGCCTTTTTGCCCGGAAACAACTGATTTCTTTTTTACATGTGTGTCACCGGAATAAACACGTTTTTCGCTCATCAAATATCGGAATGCGAGGGCTTACCGCTGAGGTTTCGGCTTAGCTTAGACTTGGCCCAGGCTTGGCTTGGCTTAGGCTTGGGGTTTGGCTCGGCTTAGGCTTGGCTTAGGCTTGGCTTAGGCTTGGCTTAGGCTTGGCTTAGGATTGGCTTCGGCTTGGCTTAGGCTTGTCTTAGGCGTGGCTTAGGCTTGGCTTAGGCTTGGAATAGGCTTGGCTTAGGCTTGGCTTAGGCTTGGAATAGGCTTGGCTTGGAGCAGGCAGAGCTTGGCTTGGAAGCGGCAGGCGTGCCAGGCTTGGAATAGGCTTGGCAGAGCTGGCTTGGAAGCGGCCTAGGCTTGGCTAGGCTGGCTTCGGCAGCTTAGGCTTGGCTAGGCTTGGGGTTTGGCTCAGCAGGCTTAGCTTAGGCTTAGGGTTTGGCTCAGCAGGCTTAGCTTAGGCTTGGGGTTTAGCTCCAGTAGGCTTAGCTTAGAGCTTGGGGTTTGGCTTGGCTGAAGCTTGGCAGAGCAGCAAGCTTAGCTTAGGCTTGGGGTTTGGCTCGGCTTAGGCTTGGCTTCGGGAAATATTTATTTTTCAAACAAATAAGGTTCAAACAAACAAACAGCACGAGACACAAAGGGATTCGATGCAACGAAATACTCAATGAACTGTCAAATAACATTTCTCGAAAACAAATGCAACTAAAGCCATGAATAAAATTACATTACAAAATCATAAAAAACGATCAGGAAATCTTTGTAATTAGCGGAAGACGATAGAGAGTAATATAGCATGCCCAAACAAGAATGGAGTTGCGAATTTGCGATGAAGAATAGGAGCCGCACAATTCGACTCGGAAATATTTGATCGAAAGAATAGCGTTTAGAATGAGATATGATAATCATCACAATTAGTCATCTCGCGAATCACGCCTCGGACTGCTCAGGTCCGGGTTTTGCGTCGGCTTTCTTCGCGCGCTTCGTGAGAAACGGCTCCGCTTGAATCACGATTGTTTCCGGGCCGGCGACGTGCCAGGAGCTAAAAACATTGGTCAAGTCAAGAGCTCGAATTCCAGCCAAAATCCCGACAGCCAAATTGCGATATTTCCGGGCGTTTACGGTTCTGAATGGCTCTAAAATCTAGGGTTTCTGGCTGTCGGTATATTCGGTATATTCGATGTCGGTAAATTGGCTGTCGGTGTTTTGGCTTTCGCGATTTTGACTGTCGAGATTTTCGATGTCGGAATTTTGACTATCGGGATTCTCTAACCAGATACATGCAAAAAAGACGCTGTTGAGAGAGCGATTTAAGGCCCTTTAAGCCGAGTGATGCGATACAAGGCTTGCTAACCTTTTCAATATTCTGCCGACTAACTCCTCGGCCGCCTTGACCATGTCACAATCTCGGCCCTTCAACACCTCCCTGCATACGGCACTAAAAATTGTCTTTGCTTTCATGCAATATTCATTATACCCAGGATCAAGCGGCGGTGACGGGTTGCCGCTCGTCAATTGACTGATCAGTGTTGCGTGATGGACATCGAGTGAGGCGTAGCCCTCGATGATTTTTTAGGCAATATCTGATGCGGGACGTGGCTCGCAGCGTCGCTTCAGCGGTATCCCCAGGATGCCACTGCGTCTAAACAACTTGGTGTAACGTAACCAAAATTAGTCCCCCCAGATCTTAAGGGTACATCAAAAGCGAAGGTGTGCTTTGTGCATATTCCCAGAGCCTAAGTTGTATGTGCTGTTAGTGAGAGTGAGAGAGCGATGGAGAGAGACCGAGAATGAGAGAGAGAGGCAGAGAGACAGAGAGAGAGACCCGGTTTTAGCGCCGAAAGGGTTCTGGACTGTTAGCGGGGGGCGGGGAGGGGGGGCTCTTTTTAGAAGGGGACAAAAATTTTTCCCATAATTTTTTAATATATAACATATAACATAATTTCCTATAACAAAATATAAACCATTTTTATAGCAGTTGACATCGATTTTCGATATAAAAACAATATATAGAAAACAAAATTTTCGAAAATTTTTGAATTTTTGTCAGAAATGTATGAAAAATGACCAAAAAGGTAAAAATTTGGAAAGAAAACAATTTTTTAAAACGTCAAAATATTGTTTATAACTTTCTAGGCATCAAGAACTGCTAAAAAGTATCAAAATATATAATCTAACAGCAACAGGTAGGCAAGGTGGAAAAATAGAAAGTGGTGCTCTATCTCACATACCAGGGCGGCATTGGTGGCCCGAACCACGGTGGCCGGATCATCGACACCGCAGATCGATAAGCAAACGAGTCGTTCCTTCTTGTCGTCGTGCGGAGTGTAGCAGAGGCCCCGGGCACGAAGCGACCGCCATATCACCCCGTCTTCTTGGCCTATCATCGTTGCGGCAACGCCGAGATGAAGCGAGGGCCACTCATCGAGATGGACTTCCTGGACCGGATTAGTGCCGTGGAATTTTGATCGGTATTGCTTACAAATGGGTTAATCGATTTTCATAATGCCGATTTGACATAAATCCCACGACTACACAAGATTTTTCGATTTCCGATTTTTTCGGCGCAAGTATAAATTTTTTATTATAAATAGCCGATGCGTTTCCAAATTGTTTGTTAGCGATTCATAAGCATTAAAACTATACATGTTCTAATTGAAAAAAATTTAATTTTAGGTCGAAAAATTTATTTTTTTTAACTAAAATGACCAAATTTTCGACCTTTTCAAACATTTTTCTTATTTTTGTTTTGGAAAGTTTTTCCACTTGAAATATGTTTACCAAAAAAATGTAAAAATAACATTTGAAAATTTCGGTACAAACTTTATCTAAAATCGGCATTATGAAAATGGATATTATGTTGGTAACTCGTTTCGAACAAGTACAAATAGGGGCTAACTATCGCAAAAAAGCAGCGGTGGTATCAGAGCTATCGAACTTATCGAACTCACTTTGTACAGGGTGGCAGTGCTGAGTTTCTCACTTGTCCCACGCGATGAATGAGGGATCGGCTTCCAAACGAAGGGTTTTTCCTAAAAAAACCATGTATCGTCAAGCAACTACCTTCCATACCTTGGGAAATTCCGGGGTTGGCCTCGCGAATAGCGTCTGCGGAACGGCTGCGATCAACTTTTTCATCGTTTCCCTCGGCCCCGCCAGGTGTAAGCTTATTGGCGCTACGGTGGTGGCAAGCTCGGCCACCTAAAAACTACTTTATTTATTCATTATTATATTATATTATTTATTTACTTTGTTAGAGTTTGATTTTGATGCAAAAGTTGCCAGAAAACCTTTAATGGGGCATTTTCAGTAGGTCCGTTGGGCCCTAACTTTTCAGTCATACGTCCTATTAATGCGTGAAGCATCTCAAAATGTTCGCCGTGGTCGAATCACGTTAAAAAAGTTGTTTCCTTCCTGCAAAAATCGCTAGAAAAATTTTTTACAAGATTGTGGAAGTTGAAGGTTAAGGCGCTATGCTTCAATGTACCAGGAGTCCAAAACTCAAATCGCTATTTTTCGACTCAAATGTACTGTCGGCCTACTCGACAGAGCAAGAGCTACATTTTGGTGCTATTGACAGCTCCGTAGGACCAAAAAAGCCGAGATACTCCAAACTCACGTTGGACCCGGAAAAATCAATTAAAGAAACCCAGCCATGTAATTGTTATAAAAAATTTTCTAACAATTTTTGATCTAAGGAACGCTTGTTTATAGCAATTCAACCACGGCAAACATTTTGAGGCGCTCCACGCATTAATAGGACGTATGGCTGGAAAGTTTTGGCAGGGGGAGGGGGGTAAACTTGAGCCTTGCCCCGGAAATACATGCAAATTTTCCCACGTTTCATGAAAAACCGGCGCTGCGAAAAGTGCCCCTTTAACACCTGTCTGACGCTAACCTCTTGGAGAGCCTGGTGAATCGTTCCGAAGCCAATCTCGTCCGCAATCCTTTTCAAATCCTTGGCGTCTGGCAATCCGGATCGGGTCTTCCGAGCCATCTGTCCTTGCAGATCCTCCATTGCGGGCCATGCAGGCTGGTAGGGTATTGACGGCCGTCTGCAGCTCACTAAACCATAGGTTTAGCATGCAACTATGCAAAGCGAGCAATAGCTCAGACGACGCTTATCTCTATTAGGTTACAGGTATTTTTTCCACCAATATCCTCGTCAGCGGTGAAAAGAATTAATGAAGTGAAAATTGAATAATTGAAATTGAAATATAAATATAAAATTGAAATAAATGAAAATGAGTGAAATCGATGAACTTACTCATCGATCCAGTTCCTCTTCTTCTCCAATTCCGTCAGCACATCAACAAGTCGCCCGGCATTCTCGACCCTCCACTATAAAAATAATTCTGTAATCTCGCCGAAACCTAACCAGCCAAAATCTAACCCTACGCCTCAATAGCGATCTCTCTCGCACACACAAACACACTCTCACTCTCTTACGTACTCGCTCACCTCTCACTCTCGCCCTCTTTCGCGCTCTGTCTCTCTTGCTCTCTTACCTCTCTCACACACGCTCTCTCCACTCTCTCTCTCTCTCTCTCCCGCTATCTCGCCTCTCTCGCGCTTTCTCTCTCACACACACTCTCTCACTACCTCTCTCTCGCTCTATCCCTCGCGATCTGTCTCTATCTTTCTCAGACTCTCTCACGCTCTCTCTCTCGGGCGCCCGCTTTCTCTCTCTATCTCGCTCTCTCTCATACCCAAATTTTAGCAAGCCTTATGGGGGGGCCCCTTATACGGAGGCAGACAACGGTGGCCTACCTTTCCTTCAACTCGGATTATCCCTTCGTCTACATCTGATCGTTCGTATCCGCAACTTATTGCGAGGCACATTCCGTTCTCTATAGTCATAGGTCACCATGCAAAAAGTATACCGACCCTTTCCGGAATAATATTCGAAATGGCGCGACAGCAACCCGGCGTACATCAGTCGGATGGCGTGCTGGTAGGAGGACGTTGCCTTGGGCATGCCGATGCAGATGGTTGCCTGAAATTGTTTAGAATGGAATGCCGAAAAGAAAAATACCAGCAGGAATGGCTTTTGCGATACAGCCAGGCTATGAGCGAATGGCCGCTTCGATGGGGCGAACGACGAAAGCGGTAGATTGTACACGCCGGGAAATATTTTGTAGATCCTCTCGAGATGGGGCCGGTTCTATAAGCACTAGCGATATGCCTAACAGGGGAAGTGTTTTGGACCCAGGTTGCAACACATACATACACTACAGAAGTAACAGACATCAATCCATAGAGGATTCGGTGCTAATGCAGTTTTATGGGGGGAGACAGTCCGAAATTGGTAGTAAGGGGCCACGAGGCGCTCCGCCTCAGCTACTTGGTTTTTGGCTTACGTTTGGGCTTAACTTAGCTTTAACCAACCATGCTTAGCTTAGGCTTAGGATGAAGCTTACGCCCAAGCCAAGAGAGCCTAGATTCAGCCTTAAATTGACTTACGAGGTCAAAATTGGACCTTTTGGGGCCGGCCTAGCGCTATAAAAGGGCGTTACGGTAAAGGTCGCTTAACGGGGGGGGGGGGACGAATAACGGGAGGTGCAAGCAATTTTTTGATTTATAAAGAATATCCTGCTATTTTGAAAACGCCATCGGATAGAGCGTCGAAAATTATACGAAGATATTTAATTTCAATCCAAAAAACATCATTTTTAACGATTTTTAAATGATTAAAACTTTTCAGCTTAATAAAGTAATAATTTGAAATTGTGATATTTCGGGCTGAATCAATTCTCTTAGTATATTGTTCGACGCTCTATCCGCTGACATGCTTGAATTGACACCACACGAAGATAAGGAAAAATGATTTCCACCCCATTATTTCTCCGCCCCCCCCCCGTTAAGCGACCTTTACCGGCGTCACTTGATTAAGCGTTTTCCAAGAATCTCTTACTATCTCTTGCTAAAGATCCGGATAATAAAAAAATTTGCGAGCCAGATTGGATGCAAATGTGTTGGTCAGAAAACAAAAAAAAAAGACCGGACCTGAATTCTCTCGCGCACCCTGCCGCCAATACGCAACGCCTCATCCATTTTGAGCGGCAGGGGAACTTCATTTTTGGGAGATGCGAAGACCTTCCAAGGTTCTCTCCGCAAGATGGATGTCATCACGTCGTTCCACCACCCGTCCGGCTTCTGGGTGAGATGCTGCAGCTGGGCTTCCTAGATAATCGATGATATAGTGATGCGCTAACCGTGAAGTTACCACGTCGAGCATGCAGCCGACTTTTGCGACATTTGGTTCACCCCACGCCCGCATCACCCGCATCACTTCGCGTTCACTCTTTGCACGAAGATCATCGTCCTAAATGTCTCATATTTTAATTAAAAACTCTTTCTCAAGACGGGAGGCGTATCCCCATTAGGAACATTTAACTCCCAGCTTTTGATAAAAAAGCAAAAAGCTTGTCACGACCGTGGGTCGAACCCAGGCCTCGCGCGCGGCAGGCGAACATGGAACCCATGCGCCAAACGGCCGATGGGATTGGGAAAGGACAGGCCCTCTTCCCCCCCGAGGGGCTGTCCTCGCTTTAGGAAACAGACCCTGCGATAACGCGGACCGATTTCATAAAATTGGGCGCTCAATGTTGCTTTAACAGGCAACTCTGCATTTTTATGCCGTTGCGCTGTTTCTAACTCAATAAATTTCGAAATTTTGTTGAATGAGGTGACGGTTCTGGACTGTTAGCGGGGGGTTTAACAGGGGAACCACTTGATGATATATTATATAGCGCTTTTAGTAGTTGTTGATTACTAGAAACTTATACAAAATATTTTTTTTAAATTTTGAAAATTCGAAAATTTTGCCGGTTTTTTTACTTTTTTTAATACATTTTTGGCGAAAACGGCAAAAAAATTGCATCTTTTTATATCATTTTCATATATAAAAGCTATGTAGAATGCTATAAAAATGTTTTATTTTGTCATAGCGCCTTATAGAAGCAGAGGGAATATTCGGGTCCCCCCCCCCCCGCTAACAGTCCAGAACCGAGCCCGCTAGTTCACGGCGAAGTGAAGCGTCCTATCTACTATCCTTAAACGGGTTTTGTTACAAAATGTCGACATTTAAAAATTTAGAAAGTAGAATCCCGAAATTTTGAAACCAATACGAATAAATTGACTTTTGAATACGAAACAAATCCTTTGCAATAAAATTTTCAACATTCTGAATGTGGGCATTATGAAATCTGGGTTATGGTCCTCGATATTGTGATAGCAAATAGCTTTAAACGATTGTTAGCCATACCGACAACCAGGTCGACAGCTCGTACTGCGCCCGGCGGCGTCCGGTAGTTGGAAGCCATTTCTTCAAGTGGTCCTTGATGCTGAAACGACGGTGGCTTATTAAATCAGGACGAAAAATTTCGGGGCTTGAGGATTCGCGGGGCGGAGCCAACTTTTTTTGGCTTTTCTTTTTATAAACAGCGGATGGGTTTCTATATTGTTTTTAACTATTTAACCGTAGCGTAAAACGTGACAAATCCTACTATATATAAAAAAATAGTGTCTGTGTGTGTGTGTGCCACTTTGCATGCAACTTCCGTCAGCGTGTCCGGAGGATATCTCAAGAGGGGAGGGGTTTTAAGGTACGGATGATACGTCATTAGGTGCGTAATGGCTTTGGGATGACTGCAAGCTTATCAGATTTTACAAAATCCGATCTTTTAGACACTAAATTTCAGTTTTTGTAAAAATTTCGGGCATCCTCTTTGTTAGGAAAAAATTAGCATTGACCGGAAGTGACACTAGCCTATATAATGGGGAGGAGCAAGCATTTTTGATTTTTTTTGATCGGAATTCATGAGCTCATGCAAAGTGACGACTTCAATAAGACCAGACGGGGCCAGGGTTGAAAAGTCGCGTAGCGGCTTTTCAACCCTGGTTTTAATTAAAATTATCATTTTAGGCCGAAAATTGAGCTTTCTTGAGCCAAAATGGCCAAATTTGGACTTTTCAAACAATTTTCTAGCTTTTTTGAAAGTTTTTCTACGTTAAATATAGTTAAAACTTACTAAAACCAATGTAAAACACCTCTATATTCGAATACAAGACAAAACGGGATCGCCAAGAAAAAATTCGTCCCCCCTCTCAGCGAATCCTAAAGAACCAATGTTTCTTACGTCGTGATGTTCTTCTGCGAGGTGGCCAGATCGGGCGAGTGGTGGGCGATCACAATGCATTCCGGGTACCTTTTGTGGTCAATCTCCACTACCAAGTCTTCGATCTTCGTGCCTAGAATGCAATGTTCGTTTTTAAGGTGCTAAAGTGAGGGGGTGGGGGGGGGCAGTCCGAAATCGGTGAGTTATTTTTAGCTTAAGCTTAGGCTGAACTTGGCTATAACTATGCTTAACTTAGACTTAGGCATGAGCTTAAGCCCAAGCTAAGCTCATCTTAAGCATGAAATTACCTTCCGAGGTCAAGATGGGATAATTTCGGCTTAGCTTGTCTCTAGCTAAGCTTTGGCTTTATCGAATGAGCTAGGCCTAGAACCGTTCTGCCAATGACTGACGCTTTCCTTCATGCTTTGTTTCTGGCCTGCTAAGCGGGGGGGAGGTTAACATGGGGGAGCCACTTTCTGTTCGTATGTGCCTGTTGCTAATATATAGAAAATATTTATAGTGATTTCAATAGTTTTTTCATTGTAGATAGTCGTTTCAAAAAATTTTTGAGAATTTCGAAAAATTGGACCTTTTTGGGTCGTTTTCCTTACATTTTGTATGAAATACTATAAATCTAAATGTAAATGCTATAAAATTGGTTTATTTTGTTATAGGGCCTTAGAGAATCAAAGGGCAAAATTTGGTGCCCCTTCCGTTAACAGTTCAGCCCCAACGCGACGCCCGGGAACCGAGCTTTTGGTAACCAAAGCTACTCCACCTGAGATCAGAAGCGTCTGCAACTCCGGGCAGAGTATTTGGACGGCACGCCGCTCCGTGGGACAGTCGATGCCGGGGAGCCGCCTAAGAAGAAGCCGAATCGTCAGAAAGGATGAAACAACAAACCAGCACATCAGCGTTCCGCTTTCGTTGCCCTGGATGGTCACGGAATGGATGGGGTCATTTGGTGGAGCGCACTCGGTTCCGAACTCCACCTTGTGCGTCGTTGCTTTTGGACCGTAGCCGCTCAGCTAAAGGTACCCTGCGTTGCGTAATGGGGGCGGTAAGAATTCAGTCTATTTCAAAGGAAACTACTTTTACACACGGCAACCATTTTTTTCGGTTCTTTCGCGTTATCGGGAGGGGGGACAACTTTTGTCTTAAACTAGAAATGCCTAGTAACCGAATAGGACATGTTTTGATAGTGTTTTTAGTCAAGAAAAACTATATTTTAACTAGAAAAACTATTTTAACACTGCATATTTTCAAAAAAATCGAAATTTTGGTCAAAAACGGCCATTTTTGGTCCAAAATCCATATTTATTTGTATTTTTTAATAAACATTTGTATAGAGTTTACGCTGTATGGATCACCGAAAAACAGCTTAGAACTCAATTCCCGTATTTCCATCTAAAGTTTTCTGCCCCCTCCAGATAATGCAACACCGTTCTTTTCTTACTAATTAAGCGAATGTAGCCGGAAATTGTAACGAGGTGAGTAATCATTAGTCCATATCAATTTACTCTCCATTCAGCTACAATAGTTCCCGCGTTGGGACTTATTGCATTCTAGTTACCAGATCTTTCGCAAGCTGGACTTCTCGCGGGGGAATGTAGTTGTCAATCCAAATCCAGCTGTTGGCGGGCGTTGCGTGTTCGGAGAGCCATCCGTCCAACTGAAGTTTTCATATATAGAATTGGCAAGGTTTTTTAAAGTGTAACGATGCCCTAGAAAAATATCCGCCTAAAGACAATTCGGCCAGCGGGCCCCGATCGAGCGGAAAATCTGTACACCGGTAGCTAATAAGAAGTAGCTTAAAAGGCTGTACAAAAATTTCTGGCTTTTTGGCCTGGATTTTCGAAAAAAAATTTGATTGAACTGACGAAGCATTACAAATATTATCGTAAAAGGTCCGCTGCAACCATGATTCCGTTGAGATGCGACAGAGCAAAATTTGGCTTTTGGAGGTTCTGGTGCGTTAGCGGGGGGAGCCCTTTCCCTTCACGAATAGGCCTCTTGGGGTGCACTATTGAGGCCCCCATGCTAATAAGTCAGAACCGCTTTCCGGAGGAATAATGGATTAGACCGATTCAGTCGGCTTACGCGTTTCCCGGTGATTGGGATGCTCGTCTCGGTGGAGCGAATGTTCTCGACCATACCCCCATCGTCATAGGTCCAGCTCAGGGCATCTGGATGGATCTTCCCGACAATTTTCCTACAAAAGGAAATGAAGGAAAGAAAAAATCAATATACCTGAAGGCTTGATAGGCTGGAGTTTCAAACCCATGCATCTTTAATTCGAGCAGCATCACACCACGCTCCCGAATCGCTCGATCATCCAGCTCTTCTATCCCGTAAATTTCGGTACACACATCGGCGTCGATGGCTTCGTCGATGGTGGCGCGGCTTTGCTTTCCTTCTGCCGGGTGATGGAAGAGCCACGCGGCATAGCGTGCCAGGAAGTGGTCGATTGTGGACGGGTGCGGGGTCAACTAAAAAAAATCTCGTTAATTGTTGACTGAATAGCCCCACTTTTTTCACGGTCATCTCCGTGACGCTGCTGAATGTCTCCGCGTTGGTTTCGGTGGCATAGTGCCTAAAAAGGGAAGAGTTTTTGACCGAGGTTGCAAATAGCTATGTAACATACATCAATCTATAGAGAATTCAAAAAAATAAAGACGAGACTTTGGCAGTTTTTGCGGAACTCCCCTTTTTAAAAAGTTATTAGATTTTTCCATGGTTCCTGGAACCTATTTCCTCAAAATCGAACTTATTGGTTTGTGGTTGCAAATTGGGTTTTGAATAGCCTATTTGATAAAGAATTTTGTCCTGATACGTATCGTATATTTCTTTAGTGCCAGCTCGCCCCTTTAAATACCTTGAAGGAGTCTGGAATAGCATGAAAATCACCAAGTTTACATAGAGAAAAGGGCGCCCATGCCAACGTATCGTTAATGTTTTGATCCAAATTTCCAAAAATTTTGAGTTGAGCAGCACATTTGAGAGAGAAAAAAATTCTAAGCACGATGGGAAGGTCTGTTTTTGCAAAATCTACCCGGAAGGTCAAAATCTTGGGGTTTGAAATTCCAAAATTTGTGCAAAAAATCACTTTAAAACTAATGCGCCAACCCATAGTTCAGAAAACTAATATTAAAAATAATTGTGAAGTAAAATTTTGCTAACGCCAGGGGTACCCGACGACAGAAACAGATCGAATTAGGCACGGGGGCTGGGGATATCCGTCTACAGCATCTTTCGTCGAGGGGCCCCATCGCCAGAAGATGTTCCGCGGCGTGTGGATAGCCGTTGTCGCAGCTGGGCTTGGAAACTAAACAAATTATTGATTCACGGTGCCAGTTTCTTTGGATTCGCGGGTTCTTTAGGGTTCGCGAAGGGGAGTACTAAGTATTTAGGAGTAGGAGGAGAGGATTTTTTCCTTTTACATTGCTTTTAGTAAGTTTTAACTATATCTCAAGCAGAAAAACTTTTTAAAAAAGCTAGACAAGTGTTTGAAAATGCAAGAATCTGGCCTATTTGGCTCGAAAAAAGCAATTTTAGGCCTAAAACCACATTTTGCATTAAAATTTGTAAAGATTTCATGCTTAGGAACAATTAAAAACAGTGTAGAAACGCATCCGCCGATGATAAAAAGATAAGCTAAAAAAGGTCAGAAAAGTTTTTGGAAAGTCGAAAATCTGGCCATTTTGGCTCGGAAAGGACTAAATTTTTCGACCTAAAATACATTTTTTAATGAAAATTTGTAACGTTTTTATGTGTAGAAACAGTTAAAAACAGTGTTGAAACGCATTCGCTATTTATAAAAAGAAAAGCTAGCAAAAGAAAGGCCTGCGCCGAAAAAAGTTCGTCCCCCCACGAATCCTAAAGAAGCGATTCGCGACATAGACGTACCAATAATAAGTGTAAACTCGGTGAACGGCTTCCGTCTGTCCATGGTGAATATATTGATACCGCTCGCGGCGCACTCGTAGCGCTTCAACTAAAAAAATTGGATTTGGGAGCTGGCCCACTAAACTTGGTCCCAAAATCCATTGGCAGATCTCCGCCTGGTTCATTCTGGGCTATCGGGGGAATTAGCGGGGGAACGAAATTTTAACCTGTGTTTTTCCACGGCCTTATAGCAAACCATAAACCATTTTTATCGCATATTACATATTTTTTAGATATAAAATCATATAAAAAATGATCTTTCTAGTAAGCAAAAACTACTGAGAACGCTACATAATATATCATCACGGTGTAGGCATAGGTGAAAAAAACAGGAAGAGGTTCCTTGCTAAGGAAGATCTCCCCCCCTGCCACAGTCCAGAACCATTTCATTAATGCTGCCTGGTAATCTAGACAGTCAATCAATCTCATACCTGTTCCCCGTTGAGCATGTTGAAATGGGAGCAGGCAAGGTGCTGGGCATTCGGAGCTGGTTTTGCGAACGTTCGTTGGACTCCTTCCTGCTGATGTTGACCGGCGCTTCTTTGTGAAAGACTTTTCTGCAAAATGGTGCAATTCTATATTTCCCACTTTTCAAGATAAAAGACCGAAAGTGAAGGAAGGCGTCCCGGGACCTATATCCTTCGAAAATAGGTGGAATGGTTAATGTTAAGCTACCCACTATCCCTTAAAAGCGCGCGAGAAGGAAAAGAGTTTCGGTGCTGGGTCGTTAGCGGGGGAAAGAACTCCCAATAGCCGTATTAGCCGTAGCCGTACGCGTATTTTTCGAAAAACTGCTTTTTTACAATATGTTTTTTTTTCCGGAAAACTGTTTATCGAAAATATGCTTCGAAAATGTGACTTTTAGAAAATATGCGTTTAGAACACCTGTCTTTTCGAAAATATTCGTTTATAAATATGACTTTTCGAAAACACGAGTTTCGAAAATATCAGCGTCCACCAACGAAAAAGCCAGGCACAACTCGCTACTTTATTTCTAAGCGTTGTTTACGTTTTGCTGTGTCGGAGAATTACCCACCCTCGGTACGGCGTGCCCCTCGCTCGGATCGAGCATTGCTGCGAATATTCTGTAGCGCCACTGGGGAACCTCGTCGGGCTTCACTGTCACATGTTCTTGGTTGGCGAGTGCGGACGCATAGCCGCAAACGAAAACCCCGCAGTCTTGCGTTCCCGGCTCTTGCTGCCGCCCAGGAACGCGGCTGATGCGAGCAACCCGGGGTGGAACCTAAAAAGTTTGTATAAGTCCAGTGTTGCAGGATCTCTTTCCAAAAGTAAGCTAACGGTGGGGAAATTGGGTTCTAGACTGATAGCGGGGGGTTGGGGTTTAGACATACAAAACCATATAAAAATAATAAAAAATTTTCGACAATGTCGACTTTTTGGTCAAAATGTATGAAAATGGCCAAAAAAGGTAAAAATTTTCGAATGTTCAAATTCTTAAAATTTCTTATAACTTTCGAGCCCCCAAAAAAACCCAAAAACACTATAAAGATTCATTATATATCATCAAACTCTGGAAAAAAATAGAAAGTGGCTTTCCGCCTGCAAACCCCCCCCCCGCTAAGAGTCCAGAACCGAAAATTTTAGAACTTTTTGAATCCGGTGATTAGCGGCTTCGACCAGGTATTTAGAAAACAGAAAAAAAATTCTGCCCAAGATAGACTCCATCTACACTGAAAAAGGCTTCATGGTAGTCAAGAAGTTTAGGAGTCAAGACAAGCTTCAAACCAGACCAACCGTGGGCACTTCTCGGGCGGGAAGCAGCGTGTTGAACCGATTCAAAGCATCTCGCAATATTTTCTTGAGAGTTTTCATCGATGGATAGGGATAGAGCGGATCATAGAGCAGCAGTTCGTTCTTCCCAAAGTTGAACGTCAATAGGTACCAGTGAACGTTCGAGCAGATCGGCCACAAGACCATGCCATTATCCGTTGACTCGAGTTTCGGGAGCTCCCTTAAATGATCAAAACAAACTTACAATCTTTTCTAGCGGCCCCGGTTGGCCTAGTAATCAATTTGAAAGTGTTTTTACATTGTTTTTAGTGCGCTTTACCTATATTTAAAGCAGAAATATTTTCAAAAAGTTTGAAAAGTTGAAAGTTTGGCCGGTTTTCGACCTAAAATTAAATTTTTAATTAAAATTTGCAAAGTTTTTATGCTTAGCAATAGTCAAAACAATGTAGAAACGCATTCTCTATTTATAAAAAAAATTTAAGCTTGCGCCGAAAAAAACCTTTAAAAAAGTAGAAATTTGGGTAAAAAATCGGCCATTTTCCGTCGTGAAAGGTATATTTTTTCAATACAAAATTGTAAAGTTTTAACGTTTAGGCCTAGTAAAAAACATTCACCATTTATATTAGATTCTAAGAAAACAGTTGGTTTCCTCACCTCCGCTCCCCGCCAAAAAAAATGCGAAAGAACCCGGTAGCTTATTTTTGGTAATATATCCAAATTGCTTACGGCAATTCATCCCAGTGGTGCCATTCTTGGGCGCTGAGAGTCTGCAGAAGATTGCCAGCCTCCTTCGCATCCTCTCTCGCAGGCGACCCAGAAAAATATCGACGATCAGGTCGGTCAACTTCTTTCCGTCTGAATATTGAGAAAATTTGAGGACGTTATTCGCGAAATTCGCACCTTCGAGGCTCCTGAGGTCCTCTAACCCTAGCCGCCCGTCGTGGCGCGTCAGCCCGCGCGCATTGAGCTCACGATCAAGGTCGATCTCATTTTCCTTGAACACCGTGCGTTGAAGCGCCGTCATATTCTCATTTTGCAGCCTGTAAAAAGTACTGTAACGCTAAAAACTGGAGGCTATCGGAACCTCGAAAATCGGAATCTCAAAAGTTCTGAATCACGAAAGTTCGGAATCTCGTAAATCAGAATCTCGAAAATATATACTTTTTGCCCATCAAAAAAAAGTTTGCAAGGCGCCGGCCAACACTCGTCTGCGTAAAAAACGTGTATTTTGTTCTTGATTTTCGAGATTCAGAACTTTCGAGATTCTGAACCTTCCAAAATCTGATTTTCGAGATTCTGATAGCAAATCCTAAAAAGCACGCACTTTCTGGACCAGTGTTTTTCGCCTAAAGGTCGATAAGGCATCAGCCGGGTGAAAGGAATCCTCAGCATGGACGAACGCACTTTGCTTGGCGTGACGCTCCTACAGCAGATTTTGAGCACAACACGAAACTCTTACAAGCGCATCGGCTCGGTGTTCCTCGTAAGTCACGCGCTCCATCAGCTCGATCAGCGCAAAATTTTTCTTTAACGTCATTATTGTGCCATCGGGGAGCATCGTGGGAATCTGTATTAAAAGGTGTGAGAGAAATGGGAAAGGATTACCCGATCAAGGGACATGTGATGGAGCGGCTTCCGGGCTGCGTAATTGCCTCGAACAACCCTGACAGATCGTGTGTCCACATGCGCCTAAAATCAGTCATCACATTAAACCACTTAATATCAGTGTACTCTGCCTTTTAAAAACTGCACTTAAAATTGTGGTTTTTGCTTGATCAATTTGGTCAACGATGCTCAAAATGTATAAATTTTATTAATTGATTTTTCGTAATAAACACTAAAGTTTTATTTCGATACTAAAGGATCATTTAATAAAGGGAATGCGGTTCCCCTCCCCGCAAAGCAACCAGAACAAACAAGCAACAAACCCGTCAAAACGCGCGGTATCCGCTTCTCATCTTCAGCGTCGTATCTCTCGTTACAGACACGACACCCGTAGTCGCCCATGCTAAAATGAGCATCATTCACACTAGCACATCACTTCGATTTCAGGAATCCACGAACTCAAGAACCATAGACGAGATATACCATTTTGCGATAGTGCTCTTTATTAATCAAGCTCAATCATTTGTAAGTAATCAACAAATTGTCGAAATCTTTGAAATTCTCGCGAAACTGCGGTTGAAATCCTTTCTCTTTTTGGTGCTTCTTCGCAATGTCTCACCGTGTCATCTAAATATAAGTTAAAAATGGAGTAACGCGGACAGCTTACCAATTTTTCGGCTTTTCGTTCTTTGACGTTGGCCACTGCCCGGATATCGTGAGGTCGAAAAGTATAACGCGTGGTTTGTCTCTGCCCGTGCCAAGCCCGCATCGATCTCTAAAAAGAATATGGGGCTAAAATGGCTGTCTAACCGTTTCAGGACTGTGCGGATCGGGAAGCGTTTACCCTCTTCTTCCGTCCCAGTCCCCCGTAATTCGTCCCAGCCGTTGCGTTTCACCAGTTTGTATCCGATGTTTGTCTCCGGGATGCCATATCTGAAAGAGAGCTGAAAAAGTGCCTAATTGAATATCCGTTTAATTTTTTATCCGTTTCAAGGTTCTTTCGTATTATCGGGGGAGGTCGTATTTTCGCATCCTCTCTTTCGTATCGAATTTGCTAGAGGAAGCCTTTTGTAAACAGCTTTTTCCTTAGCTTACGTAATGGCGTAGCAGTTGATGAAAACACACGGCGAGTCGAGCACCTAATCCACACCAGAGCCAAGCAGTGCATCACAGTGGTGGATCTATATATATATATATATATATATATATACAGAGGGATGGTTGTGTAAAGATGGGGTACTTTTAGGAGATGTGAAACTGCTGATAGATCTCCCGGAAGCTTTTCCAACTCTCGTGCACCGACTGGCTCGACATGACGCTCGTTGATCACGACAAGAATCGGGCATTGGATGCGCGGGTTGGAAACCTGAAATGAGACATTTTGGGTCATTTTCTTCTTTCGATCCAATTTTTCTAATGTAAATAGAGAAAGTATTTCTAAACTGTTTTTGCTATTGCTAAGCGAAAGCGAAAAAACGTTTTTCAAAGTTATTTCGATTGCTTTTTCAAGTGAATATGATTAAATTCGACCAAAAATACCATTAAATACGTAGCATTAATTAACTAGACATTTCTAGAACTCGCCTGATAATGAAAAAGCCCCCGCCCGCCTGATAATGCAAAAGCCCCGAAACATAGAGATATAGATGGTTTATAAAAGCTTACGATTTTATGCAATTCCTTGACGCTGATCGTAGCGCTCCATAGCCGAAAGGGACGCAGCCTCGGCAGACCGCCCACATTCCAAAAGTTTAGCCGCAATTTTTTGTGATGAACCTGAAATTAAAAACCTTGAATTTACCAAAAAAAAAACCGTCTCGATGTTGAAACCAATGGTTGGTGGGGGTGGCAGTGGTTCACAGCGCTTTCAGCGAGCTAAAAATGTCGCTTCTCCACCATTATAGGGGGATTTTCCGTTAACTCCTGATCAACATAGTAATAGTAATACGTAATAAAGGTATTTTATTAATGTTTTTACTAAGTCTAACCATAATTGAACTGTGAGAATCTAAAAACCAACCGTTGTTAAAGGTCGGAAAATTGGTTATTTTGTCGAAAACAGCTATTTTTCGTATTTGCTACAAAAAATTTGTCATTTTTTTGCTCCACTCCCACGATAATGGGAAAGCACCAGGATGTCCTCGGACTATGTAACCAACATGTCATCGTCGTCTTCCCAGTCCAAGTAGCACCATACGCATCGATGAAGTGGCCGAGGAGAAGCCGATTATCTTTTGAGATGGTGTATGGGATTAGCGTCGACAGGAGTCCATCATCTAAAAAACACAGTAAACGCCATTTCAGGAAGAGAAACAATATACCGGGAGCTTGAACACGTTCGGCCTTCGCTCCCTCGGTCAACGCCAACCAATCCTCGTTCTTGGTGTCCAATTCCGATCTTCAGCCACTAAAAATCAGCATATACATTTATGGTCATGGTACGATCAGCTCACCCTTTGCAATTCCAAACAAGCACCTCCAAGCTGATTTTGATGAGCTGATGTCTGATTCTCCAAGCTGTCGAGACGTGTTCAGTTGGTGTTTCAATGCGCAATTTCTCCAAAATTCTACGTTTTTCGACTTTTCCGCTAAAACTCCTTCGACTTTGGATCAATTTTTTCAAAGGTGTGCCGAACATTCCTTTACTATCATCGGTCAAGGTTGGGGTTGGTTAGCAGTCTCGTTTTCGAGATCGTAGGGCTTCCGTATTCAGAACTGCATTTTGCTTGTTTTTCTTGTTCTTTTTTTGCGAGCATTGGACCCGCTTTTCCACCCCTTACCCTTCCCGTGTGCCGATTGAACGGAACGCTGTTGAAGTGGGCCATCAGGGCGTGTCGCAGTATCATTTTGATCCCATCGATGTAGCTGCACAACGGGCACTTGGCACGTGTGAATTTGCCCAGTGCTAAAAACCGAGTTTGCAAGGTGGCAGGCAGAATATTGATACCTTGAACACTGCTACATGTGATGCGATGCTGGGTCAACGCCTGCTCATTCTGATACACTTCGGCACAGCCGCAAAGATGAGAGTGGAACTGAGCAGAAAAAAAGTTTTATATTTTCAGTTAGCAACTTGTACCTGTTGAAAATGGCTAACGGGCCCTGTGGAGCAGTTGACTTGACGGATGTTGCAGATGAACACTTTGTTCTTGCCGTCGGAGCCGATCATTTGGAATGGTGTCAGTTCACTGGAAATTGAAAATAATTATATTGATTTTCAGCAGAAGAACTGACCCGTGGACCCGTCGTACTGCTCTCGCATTTCTGGTGCTATTGCCTTGGCGGAGGCTATGCACGGCTGGGGTGGTTCGGGAAGGAAGGACCGTCTGTCGTGGGGAATAGACTGGGTGTGTTGTCGGTGTCATCGGCATTGCACCGCCTGAAAATTGTTTTCCACATTATAAAATAATGGCGAATATTCATTCCACCGAATTTTTTGATCTCGCCAAATTACTTCAGACCAAAAACTGATTATGAAGGGGCACAGGTTCGCTTATATATAAATTTCTATATAAATTTCTAATGTCCGTGCGCCCGTCCGTCCGCCCGTCCGTCCGACCGGATCGCTGCGGGACCGCCAGGACCGGTTCGGACGGGTCCGGGAGCCCGGGGCGTTTCGGGGTTTCGGGATTTCGGTGTATGGGATGTTGATTTATTACTATTTATTACCATTTATTATTATTACTATTTTAGAATGTTTTTCCCTTTTCCCCCCGGGAGGGCCAGCGCTGAACCCCCGCGGAGCGGGGGGTCAGCGCTGGTAAATTTCTAATGTGCGTAAGCCCGCCCGCGGCCCGTCCTCGCTGCGGGACCCGCGTCATTTGGTGTAGCACGGAACGGACGCGCGGGATTTCCGATTTTTGCGCAGATCACAGCCCCAGGACCGGTACGGACGCGTTCGGGACGGATTAAAACTTGAAGACGACGGTTTCGAACGTGTATCGGTCCCAAACCGTCCCCGCCAGGGGGATTAAATCCCCCCGGGAGGGACAGCGCACAACCCCCGTGAAGCGGGGGTTAGCGCTGGTATTGCTCTAAAACCTCCTCGCGTATAGCTCCGGTACAATTTGTTACGTACGAATGCAATTGACACCACATAATGTGCGTAGGGGACAATTCGGCGCAAAAGCTATGTAAGCCAAAAGAGCCGGTTCGCAGGACCTCATGCAGCTATTTCTTTCATCAAACCACTCAAAATGTTGGAAAAGGTCCAATGCGAACAAATACCCTATAAGCGAGATAAGTTTTTCAACCAATATTGCAAAATATCATTCGTGAACGGAGTTCCTTGCACGAAACCGAAAAACGAAAGCCACCGATGGACGGTCATGCGGAATTACGGGCGCTTCGTAATTCCGTATGACCGTCAATCGGTGTCTCGAAATCCACACGAGGTTTTAGGGTCGGTTTACGATTTTGGAGTTTGTCAGCTGGAAATTAAATTTAGTTTTACCAATTCATAGAGAGCTGGCTCCATTCGAAACGATCGGCTCCTACGACAAGAACAACGTGTTTGCAGTCAGCCAACAGCATCTGCCAAGTCAAGTCGATGCGCCTCTACAAGCTGAATCGAAATCTGTAAAAACGGAAGTTGGTCATCGGGCTATTTTTCGAGATACAGCCGATTTCCTCCCAAAAATTCTGGGTTTTCCAGCTTTTCGACTTTTCCGCGAAACTCCTACGACATAACTTTGGATAGATTTTTCGACTTTTTTTCGATTTTTTTTTTCCGACCCTTCCTTTATTATAATCCGGAAAAATGAAGGCTGTTATCGGGCTCATTTTGGCGACCCTAGGACCTTCGTATTCAGATGGCGAATTTGGCTTGTTTTTCCACAACAACTTTTTCCCAATCCAATTTCGTAGCGGGTCGTTTAGTATGAAAATGTAGAGCATAAAATTCTGCGTTGAATGGTGTACCAGACTTGCATTTGAACGCCGAAGGCCGAGCACTTCGAGGCCCTCGAAGGTTGCGGCGTGTCCGAGACTGTATTACTGCTCTAGCTCAAACAGCGTTCTTTACGAAGGCGACACCACGGAACAGAACTGCGGTTTGATTAAGTTTCAAGGTTTAGAGTTATAGTTTGTGGTTTGTAGTTTAGACAGCTTCACATTTTTACCTTAGATTGCCCGCCACTTCGAGCGCATACGAGAAGAGGTCGATAAAGCGGAAGTTGAGGCCATCAAGACGCTGGACAACTCGGCGTCATGCATTGAAACCCGAACTGAACACGTCTCGACAGCTTGGAGAATCAGACATCAGCTCATCAAAATCAGCTTGGAGGTGCTTGTTTGGAATTGCAAAGGGTGAGCTGATCGTACCATGACCATAAATGTATATGCTGATTTTTAGTGGCTGAAGATCGGAATTGGACACCAAGAACGAGGATTGGTTGGCGTTGACCGAGGGAGCGAAGGCCGAACGTGTTCAAGCTCCCGGTATATTGTTTCTCTTCCTGAAATGGCGTTTACTGTGTTTTTTAGATGATGGACTCCTGTCGACGCTAATCCCATACACCATCTCAAAAGATAATCGGCTTCTCCTCGGCCACTTCATCGATGCGTATGGTGCTACTTGGACTGGGAAGACGACGATGACATGTTGGTTACATAGTCCGAGGACATCCTGGTGCTTTCCCATTATCGTGGGAGTGGAGCAAAAAAATGACAAATTTTTTGTAGCAAATACGAAAAATAGCTGTTTTCAACAAAATAACCAATTTTCCGACCTTTAACAACGGTTGGTTTTTAGATTCTCACAGTTCAATTATGGTTAGACTTAGTAAAAACATTAATAAAATACCTTTATTACGTATTACTATTACTATGTTGATCAGGAGTTAACGGAAAATCCCCCTATAATGGTGGAGAAGCGACATTTTTAGCTCGCTGAAAGCGCTGTGAACCACTGCCACCCCCACCAACCATTGGTTTCAACATCGAGACGGTTTTTTTTGGTAAATTCAAGGTTTTAATTTCAGGTTCATCACAAAAAATTGCGGCTAAACTTTTGGGATGTGGGCGGTCTGCCGAGGCTGCGTCCCTTTCGGCTATGGAGCGCTACGATCAGCGTCAAGGAATTGCATAAAATCGTAAGCTTTTATAAACCATCTATATCTCTATGTTTCGGGGCTTTTGCATTATCAGGCGGGCGGGGGCTTTTTCATTATCAGGCGAGTTCTAGAAATGTCTAGTTAATTAATGCTACGTATTTAATGGTATTTTTGGTCGAATTTAATCATATTCACTTGAAAAAGCAATCGAAATAACTTTGAAAAACGTTTTTTTTTCGCTTAGCAATAGCAAAAACAGTTTAGAAATACTTTCTCTATGCATCATCATCTCTATGGATTAGGTGCTCGACTCGCCGTGTGTTTTCATCAACTGCTACGCCATTACGTAAGCTAAGGAAAAAGCTGTTTACAAAAGGCTTCCTCTAGCAAATTCGATACGAAAGAGAGGATGCGAAAATACGACCTCCCCCGATAATACGAAAGAACCTTGAAACGGATAAAAAATTAAACGGATATTCAATTAGGCACTTTTTCAGCTCTCTTTCAGATATGGCATCCCGGAGACAAACATCGGATACAAACTGGTGAAACGCAACGGCTGGGACGAATTACGGGGGGACTGGGACGTGAAGAAGAGGGTAAACGCTTCCCGATCCGCACAGTCCTGAAACGGTTAGACAGCTTATTTTAGCCCTATATTCTTTTTAGAGATCGATGCGGGCTTGGCACGGGCAGAGACAAACCACGCGTTATACTTTTTCGACCTCACGATATCCGGGCAGTGGCCAACGTCAAAGAACGAAAAGCCGAAAAATTGGTAAGCTGTCCGCGTTACTCCATTTTTAACTTATATTTAGATGACACGGTGAGACATTGCGAAGAAGCACCAAAAAGAGAAAGGATTTCAACTGCAGTTTCGCGAGAATTTCAAAGATTTCGACAATTTGTTGATTACTTACAAATGATTGAGCTTGATTAATAAAGATAATTATCGCAAAATGTGTATATCTCGTCTATGGTTCTTTGAGCCTGTGGATTCCTGAAATCGAAGTGATGTGTATTGTGTGAATGATGCTCATTTTAGCATGGGCGACTACGGGTGTCGTGTCTGTAACGAGAGATACGACGCTGAAGATGAGAAGCGGATACCGCGCGTTTTGACGGGTTTGTTGCTTGTTTGGTTCTGGTTGCTTTGCGGGGGAGAAACCGCATTCCCTTTATTAAATGATCTCTTTAGTATCGAAATCAAACTTTAGTGTTTATTACGAAAAAATCAATTAATAAAATTTATACATTTTGAGCATCGTTGACCAAATTGATCAAGCAAAAACCACAATTTTAAGTGCAGTTTTTAAAAGGCAGAGTACACTGATATTAAGTGGTTTAATGTGATGACCGATTTTAGGCTGCGGACACACGATCTGTCAGGGCTGTTCGGAGGCAATTACGCAGCCCGGAAGCCGCTCCATCACATGTCCCTTTGATCGGGTACCCTTTCCCATTTCTCTCACACCTTTTTTTAATACAGATTCCCACGACGCTCCCCGATGGCACAATAATGACGTTAAAGAAAAATTTTGCGCTGATCGAGCTGATGGAGCGCGTGACTTACGAGGAACACCGAGCCGATGCGCTTGTAAGAGTTTCGTGTTGTGCTCAAAATCTGCTGTAGGAGCCTGACATGCGTGAATTTTTTCACCCTTATTCGTTACATACATTAAAAATCATAACAAATCAGCAAAAATGCATACGAAAATCTTAAAAATTTATGATAGAAATAGTTTCCCCCGACACGTATTGCGGGCTGGCTTTTCAAAGACCCTTTGGATTTTTGGTGCAGGTTTTGGTGATCATTCGCTAGGAAAATCCGGGGTTTCGCTATTTTAAAAATTATTTTCGCTGCTTCAATATTGACAGCATACAGGGTGTCCCAAAAAAATCCCTCCCCCCCTAGCCGGCCGCAGACGGGTCCGATTTTTACGATTTAGGTATCTATCGAAAGCTCTCGGAAAGGCGAGTCCAGCACGTCTCTTCGATTTTCATGATTTGGAAATTTTTCCATCAGTTACTATTTTTTTTTGCAAAATGGGCGGGTTTCCTGAAGTTGTTCTGACCAGGGGATTTTTTACAAAAATCGCAATTTAAGAATTTCTACGCGTTTCCTGGCAACCCAACGACAGCTTTTTGAAAGCCGTTTGCCAAAACACAGCTTGGACAGCGCTTAAACCGGTTAAATTGCGTTTTGAACGAAAAAGTCTGTCCTTTTGGCCTGAAAAATGCCGAAAATCGAGCAGAAAATTCCGACATTTCGCAAATCCGCAAGACGTGCTGGACTCGCCTTTCCGAGAGCTTTCGATAGATACCTAAATCGTAAAGATCGGACCCGTCTGCGGCCGGCTAGGGGGGGGGGAATTTTTTTGGGACACCCTGTAGGGTTTCCGGCAAAAAATTGGAATATCAAACACCAGGATACATCGGGAGGACAATGGCTTAGAACCCTGAGAAAAGTCGCAAATTCGGCATTATGGGAATCGGCATTATGGGAATCGACATTATGTAAAATCGCATTATGAAAATCGGCATTATGAGGTTAACCTCTTTTTAGGTGTCCAGCGCCTTTGACGACTACGCCAAAGCCTACGCCAATTATGACACGGCCTTCGAACAACTGACTGGGTTCGCCTCGAATTTTATTTGTGACGTGGGTTATTCCGATCAAACGGGAAATCTATGTTTTTAGCGTAACCGGCTCAGCAACTTCATTCGAGATAGTGATGCGAGCCTCAAGGTATCTCTGATTGTACACACTAATTTATGCTCCCACTTTGAGGCGGGCGAACACCCGGATTTGACGGCGGATGACCTGATCGAATGTGCCGAGAAGTTCTATCAGAAGACTGTCGAAGTTGTCACGAAGGTGAGCGGTTCTGGACTGTTAGCGGGGGGAGTGCAAATTTCCCGGTGCTTTTCTACGGCCTCTTAACAACATCTAAACAATTTTTATAGAATTTTACATAGTTTTTAGATATAAAAACAAAAATAAAAATTTTTGACTTTTTGGTCAAAAAATTTTTATTGTCCAAAAAAGTTAGATTTCAGAATTCACAATTTTTAATAATATTTTTGATAACTTTCTAGCAATCCGAAACTACTAAAAACACTATAAAAATACATTATTTGTCATTAATAGGCAAGTATAGTTGGACAACAGAAGTGGTTTCCCCCCTGCTAACCCCCCACTAACAGTCCAGAACCTCAAAACAGCTCATTTGAGGCTCGTGCTTATCACGCACAAGAAGAGCTGTCGGACGCGTTGCTGAGGGACGAGTTCCACGATGACGAAGGCTCGCAGGCGAAAAATGACGGGTCGCTCTTGGAGGTGGACTATCGGAGCGACGAGCGAAGTACGAGTGAGGAGAAGATTGACGAATCGTTCGACGAGCTTGTCAAGGAGGAGGAGCAAGGCGAGGAAAACGAAGACCTACGCAGCAGCTCCAGTGAGGAGGTACGTTTAGGCTTGCTTAGGCTTGGCTTGGGCTTAGCTTAGGCTTGGTTTCGGCTTAGTTGGGCTTGGCTGGCTTCGTATAGGCTTTGGCTTGGCTGAGACAGAGAACCTGAGCCGGGATATCGTTAAATTATAATCTCGTTTTTCAGGACATCCCCGAGCCGGCTGACCGTGCCCCTGGACGTCCCCATGTCCGTGAGGTCTGGACCTCTAAACCCGATCGACGCTAAAAACTCTTTTTTCAGGATGGGATCTGCTGTAGATGCCCCGCAGAGATCGGCCTCCAGCGCGTCACGAACAAGTACGGGCCGCCCCTCTGTGCCACGTGCTCCGCTGCTTACCTGTACGTTTTGGCCGAATTTTTGTTTCTGGACTGTTAGCGGGGGGGAACCACATTTTTCTTGTGATTCTCTACGGCCCTATAACAAAATATCAGACCATTTTTGAAGCATTTTACACAGGTTTTAGACAAACAATATAACAAAAAAAATGAAAATTTCGAAAATCTTTGATCTTTTGGGACAAAGATGTATGAAAAACGACCTAAAAAAATCGAACTTTTTCTAGTTTTCAAAATTTTTCACAAGATTTTTTATAAATTTCTAGCGATGAAAAACTATTCAAACCCTAGGAACATACAAACTATATCATCAACAGTTAGGTATAGGCGGAAAAAAAGAAGTTGGTCTCCCCCGCTAACAGTCCAGTACCAAAAGAAATTTTGCAGTATGGCGTCCAGCCGCTACCGGGAGAAGCCGTACTGCAGCGGGGTGCGCTGTACTCCTCGAGGTGAGCATCTCGTTTCCGCTTGAACCATTGATTCTTACAGATCCGTGCAATGCCTGCAGGATGGGGAGCCAGTGGGCGGACCTCGGCCTCAAGCCGTACATTCCCCACAAGAAGAAATGATCCATTTTCACTCTTTTTAACGATTGACTTTGCGTGCTCAATAAAGACTTGGATATAAACTGTCTACTAGAAATTGTATGCAATACACGGTGCTGGACTGTTAGCGGGGGGCGGGGGTTTAGCGGGGGCAAACGACTTCCTGTTTTTCTGTAAAATCTGTTTGTAAGGGTTTTTGGTATTTTGATGTCTAGAAAGTTGAAAAATATTTTTAAATTTTAAAAATTCGAAAATATTTACCTTTTTGGTGCTTTACTTTCATTTTTGACAAAACAAGGAAAAAATTTAGGGAAAGTCGGCTGACCGTGCCCCTGAATGTCCCCGTGCCCGCGAGGTATGGACCGCATATCTCATCGACGCTAAAAACTCTTTTTCAGGATGGTATCTGCTGTAAATGCCCCGCAGAGACCGGCCTGCAGCTCGTGACGCACAAATACGGACCGCCTTTGTGTGCCAAATGTTCATCGGCTTATCTGTAAGTTTTGTCGAATTTTAGTTTCTGGACTGTTAGCGGGGGGAACCACATTTTTCTTGTGATTCTCTACGGCCCTATAACAAAATATCAGACCATTTTTGAAGCATTTTACACAGGTTTTAGACAAACAATATAACAAAAAAAATGAAAATTTCGAAAATCTTTGATCTTTTGGGACAAAGATGTATGAAAAACGACCTAAAAAAATCGAACTTTTTCTAACTTTCAAAATTTTTCACAGTATTTTTTTATAAATTTCTAGCGACCAAAAACTATTCAAACCCTAGAAAAATACATACTATATCATCAACAGTTAGGTATAGGCGGATAACAGAAGTTGTTCCCCCCGCTAACAGTCCAGTACCAAAAGAAATATTGCAGTATGGCGTCTAGGCGCTACTGGGAGAAGCCGATTTGCAACGGGGTGCACTGTACTCCTCGAGGTGGGCATCTCGTTTCCGCCGCTTGAACGATTGATTTCAGATCCGTGTAATTCCTGCAAGATGGTGACCTACTGGGCGGACCTCGGCCTCAAGCCGTACATTCCCCACAAGAAGAAATGATTTATTTTCTCTCTTTTGACCATTACTTTTCGTTCTCAATAAACACTTGGATATAAACTGTCTACTAGAAATTGTATGCAATAAACGGTGCTGGACTATTAGCGGGGGGGGCGTCTTATTATTTTTATAGTGTTTTTCTATCTAAAAACCATGGAAATTCGCATAAATCACTTTTAGCTGAAAATTGTCGACAACTGAAAAAATCTTGGCTTAGGCTTGGACTTAGGATTAGCTTCTACTTTGCTTAGGCGTAGCTGGCTTAGGCTTGGATTAGGCTTGTTAAAAATATAAGAAGAACAAAAAACTCCGAAAAATTTTGATTTTTTGGTCAAGGAATTATGAAAAATTACCAAAAAAAGATTAAAGTTTTCTAATGCTGTTTAGCATCTGAAATCCTATCCTACCTTATATAATTTTGGGGTGTGTCCCTGTGTGTGTATGTTTGTCCGGCCATCACTTTCGAGGCCCAATTTGAGGGCTTCCCCGTGTTCAAAACGCCCCAATTCGCCGTTACTAGGGGGAATCGCCCCAGGGATAGGGGGAATCGCACCGCGAAAAAAATACACGTTTACAAAGTTAAAGCCGGTTTTACCAAATTTTTGGGCGTTGGAGAGCTAATTTGCATATTTACAAAAATAGAAATTTCCTCATTCTTGCAAGTTGCACTCGCGTGTTTGGCCGGGGGAGGGAAGGGGTCCGAAGGACCCGAGCACTCGGAAAGTCAAATTTCTCATGCAAATGCCTGTTTCCAGCGCCCAAGGCCCCCGAAGCGGGTTTTGGACGCTGGTTAAGCATAAATTTTGCATGGCACGGCACGATTGCAACCATTGAAGCCGTGGCCAATGAACTATTGTAATTCCGGATGTGCTCGCGGAATGCTTTATGATGACGTTCAGTGCCGAGCAACAGCGCCTTCAATTCGTCAGGGTAGCCTCCCCAGCCAAGTCTAAGCTAAACCAAACTCCAGGCTAAGCCAAGCTAGGCCTAAGCCAAGTCGAAGCTAAGCCAAACTCCAAGCTAAGCCAAGCTAAGCATGAGCCAAGTCTAAGCTAAGCCAAACTCAAAACTAAGCCCAGCTAGGCCCAAGCCAAGCTCGAAGCTAAGCCAAACCCCAAGCTAAGCCAAGCTAAGCATAAGCCAAGTCGAAGCTAAGCCAAGTCGAAGCTAAGCCAACCCCGAAGCTAAGCAAGCTAGGCCTAATCCAAGTCGAAGCTAAGCCAAACCCCAAGCTAAGCAAGCTAGGCCTAAGCCAAGTCGAAGCTAAGCCAAGCTAAGCATGAGCCAAGTCCAAGCTAAGCCAAGTCGAAGCTAAGCCAAACTCCAGGCTAAGCCAAGCTAGGCCTAAGCCAAAGTGTGAGCTGAGCCTAAGCCTCAGCGGTAAATCCTCGCATCCTGATCCGTGCTGAGCAATTTTCGAAAAGCATTTATTCCGGTATATCACAAAAAAAGAACAAAATCAGTTGTTCAGTTTGCGGGAAAATAGTTTCCGAGTGCAGCAAGGACCTTGAAGACGGGGCGGACCGCGACTTGTTCATCGACTTCGACAGCAGCCACGCCTTCAGCAACGTCGCGCTCAACAATGTGCAGCTGCGGCTCATCCTTCGGCTTTTCCTCCTTCTCTTCCACTTCTTCGTCGTCCTCGGCGTCTGAGGATGGTGTGTCGTCGTCGTCATCAAAGACGTCCATCCACTCGATGGGTTGCTCCACCTGAAGCAATTGCGTGTCAATGATAAGCCATGAATGTACCTCATGAGGATCCGGGAAGTCGGGCAGGTCGTCTCCGTTCGCTTCTCGGTAATCCTCGCGCAGGTTACGTGCCATCCTCCTCTGGTGCCTTGCCAACGCGTTGCATTGACGCATCTGAAATATTCGTTCAAAAAAATATTTTAGTAACTTTAGAAGGCAAAAAAACTACTAAAAGCTACTAAAAACCCTATAACAATACAAGATACGGCCGACCACCTGCTAACTCACCCCCCCCCGCTATCAGCAAAGAACCGAAATCTGTTTTCACAACTAATAATGTACCGCGTCGGCGTGGGCGTCTTGGGCAGACTTCAGCGTAGCCGCCGCCGTATCCTTCTTCTCCTTCAGCTCCTGCTCCATCTCCTCGCAGTACGTGTCCAACAACCTAAAACGTCAGTCATTGGGTAAATTTTTCATTAAAAATTTAATTTGTCGTCGAGAAATAAAGATAAAAAAAGAAGAAGAGTTGGTAATATTGGAATACCTTCTGCAGTTGGTGGGCATTGAGTTCGATGTAGAGGTCGCGGACTTCAGCCCTTGCGAGGTGCGCCACGTTGCGGACCACTTGCCCATTGTACCGATTGAGCGGCCGAGCAGAGATGTGCATGGCCTGCAAAAATCATTGGATTTCGGTGTGCTTACGCAATATCGGGGGGGGGGGAGGGGTGAATGGAATTTTTTTGTGTCCAGAAATGCCTAATAATTTCAACGAAATATCTTAGTGTGTTCTTCAACGAATCTATATTGAATTAGAAAACTTATCTAAAAACGTTTTGAAAAGTCGAACTTTTGGTCGAAAGAGCGATATTTTTGTTGGAAATATTTGCGCTATTTATAAAAAATGTTGGTCCCCCCGATACTGCAAAAGCCCCAGTTTCGGAATGAAAGATATACTGACTGGGAACTTGGCCACGGGCTTGCCCATCTTCTTCTTGTGCGCCAGTCGCACCCGATCCTCTTCCGCCCAGCTCTTCCGCAGCACATCTTCCTCTTGGTGACGCAGAACCGGGAGCCGCTTCAAGATAAGCCCGATGATCAGAGCCTAGAAATGATGGTTCTGGATTTTTCGTTTCCGTCTAGGGTTCTTTCGCATTATCGGGGGGGGGGCGGACCCAAGTTTTTAAACAACGCAATTTCTCAATATCAAACACAACGTGTTTCCAAAATTTCTTTTTACAGGGTGAGGCATATATATCGCTACACCCTCTCAGGCCCCCAAAAAATTATTAAAGCGAGCCGGGCTTCGATATTTTGCTGTGATATAGCCACATGTGTCCTTTCGACACTCTTAAAATCTTATAACGCAACAACCCTATAAACACTTGTTCTGAAGCAAAAACTGGGCGTCGTTAGGTGGGTCTGGCACGGAACCCCTTGGCGGCCGATTTCGGTATGGTTCGGAAACATTGATTTGGACCCGAATGACCCCTAAAAACATTTGTACTACTTAGAATTTAACTAAAAAGACAATGTGACCAACTTATTTCTTTTCATTCGGCAGAAAGTTAAAAGTTTGTCTCAGCTGGTTACAAAAACCATAGTAAAAAAACATAAAAATACATTTTTTGACCTGTACTCGTTCAATTTCTTGGTTTTATCATTAGGAATTGCTCGTATCGGATGCCTAAAATGCAAAAAACAGCTCGAATCCAAATATTCAGGTGGCTTAGATTTTCTGATGAATTTTTAGTAGCCAACCAAAGGGCGGGGAGGGGTGGGTAATCACTCCTTTTTTGAATGTAGTAAAATTCCCTCGCTAGTTTCCGACTAAAAACTTTTTGGACGCATAAATAAGATCCGATTGAACCAGAATACAAAAAAACTGCAGCAGAATTACCAATATACGGGGTTCTAGGAGCAGCGTGCCAACACACCACTTTTTCGAGAAAAGTGCTGAACTTCCTTGTAAGCTAAACCCAAATCAAAACAATTTTCAACCAGTTACATTTATTTCCTGCATAAAGAAACGCTAGTTCTTTGATGGGAAACATCGACTACCCCGAAAATATAATCAGTTTTCCGCCGGCAGACCAATTTGTGCGTGCTAGAGGTGTAGCGATATATATGCCTCACCCTGTATATCCCTAAACGCCATTTTGGTTTCCCCGATAATGCGAAAGAATCAGGGTTTCTCAGCGCCATTAGAAATCAGAAATATAAATAAAAATAAGATAAGAAAAGTCACCTCCAGGTTAAAGAAGAAGCAGGCCCGTTCGTATTGCTCTTGGGCCTCCGACATCACCACCGTTGCCTCCTCACGAGCAAAAGTCACCACTTCCGGATTCTAAAAAGGGTCCAGAGCAACCAACAGACCATACCAAATCCATAGCAAATATTATAGTCAGTCAATAGCTAAAATAAGTGAAAATCAGTCGTGATGATAACATTTCTGAAATGTCCTCTGCTCTAATACGTTCATCCTGTGCAAATCATCGAAAAATTTCGGTTCCTGCTATGCGTTATGTTAATTCATGTTCTAATGCCATTAAGATGCTAATCCTTGTTTGTTAAGTTAATTCTGTTATCGGAAAATGCCATTCTTTCAACTCAAATTCAATTGTTTTAACTCAAAATTAAATTGGGGGGGGGGATTCGAACCGCCGGCCTGCGCTTGGCAAGCGAGCACTTTGCCAATGCACCATGCTGCCAACTGGGCAGCATCCTTTCTTTTGCCTTTTGCAAAACACATCTGATTTTTTTATCAAAAAAAAAAGCTTGTTTTGACCTTTAAGATGCTTGTCTAGCCAATTACTAGCCAATTTGACGTTGAACTTGGTCAAGAAAATCGAAAACGATAACGGTACCTTGATTTTGGCGAAAAACACTACCAAAATTGCCGTATAACTTTAAAAATAAAAGTCCGCACCAAATTTGGAAAACGGATTCGGAATCAGCGAAAACTGGCCAAATGCACTTGGGCCCGAATTGAAACTCCAACTTGAGTAAAAACACTTTAAAGTTAGGCTTAGCTTGGGCTTCGGCGTAGCACAGGCTTGGTTTAAGCTTCGGTTGGGGGTTAACTTAGCTTAGACTTCGGCTGCGCGTAAACATAGCCTGGGGTTAGCTTACAAGGAGTCGTTTTTAGGCGATATTGGAGTTTTTGAACGAGACCTAGCTAGTTCGATAGAGAAAAAAATTCTGAACAAGATGTCGTTTTCCAAATCTGCTAACCGTGTACGCTGTTCAATAAAAATTAATTTGAAGATCATTAATCTAACCATCATTTTCCGCCTGATCGGCAGATTCTGCTCTTTGGGTGCGCGTCAACATAGCCCCCTTTAGGCCTCCATCCAGCCATGACCAGCTGGCCTATTGGTAGTGCGCTTGCTTCATAAGTTTTTGTCTTTTTTTTGCCAGCGGGTTCGACTCCTCGCTAGTAAAACTCTTTTGCTTTTTGCTCGATAATGCCAAATTCGATTTCAATGGCATGAAAAAGCAAAAAGCAAAACATTAAAAGGCCGTCCGCCAGCCACCCGAACAGGCCCCATTATGGCTTGGCACAGTTTTTTTCGGCCCTGTTTTTTTGACGGCATCGGATAGAGCATGGTCAAATTAGTAGGGCTGCATATTTTTGAAAGTTCAAAAAGTTTGATTTTGGGGTTTAAATGGGCGTTAAAGTTGCCGACCTCAAAAAACTATCTCGAAAACTACTGAACCAAATTTGCTAAAAACTTGTGTCAATACCTAATTTGGCATCAGGATCATTTCTCTAATACATTGCAAAACCCGAAAATGACAGGAACAGGGTTAAAATGCGTACTAAAAACAGTTTTTCGACATTTTCGAATTTTGGGGGTCGTCAGCGCCACTTGAAATCGGCATAGAAAGATGCGCCAGATTTTTCTGCGTCGAATGACGTATCGGTTAAGTGGCGCTTAGGACCCCCAAAATTGTTATAACGCAATTTATGCATTAAAAACGCACCAAAAATTACCTCTGAAAATACAAACTTGTGACTTTTTAAAATCTGTGATATGGGATCGCATCTAGAGATCAAGCTGAAGCTATTACAAAAAAAAGAGCAAAAAGAAATTCGGCTTCTGAGAGGGGGCTGGGATTGAACTGGCGCCACCTCTGGATTGGCACGCCGACGCTTTACTCATTGCGCCACAGGCCTCCCAGGCGGAGGGTCCGGGTTCGATTCCGCGATGCCGAAAGAAGCCGAATTTCTAATTTGACCATGCTCTATCCGATGCCGTCAAAAAAACAGGGTCGAAAAAAACTGTGCCAAGCCTTGTTCGGGTGGCTCGCAAACGGTCTTTTAAATCACAATAAGTTCCGAACCCTGGGCATAATTTTGCAAAAGTTTGATAGGCGCCGGCACTATCCACTAGGCCACGATCTCATGCGCATGCTGGTTCGCGCTGTGGGCTATGTCCCGGGCCTGCCCTGAGGCCCGATTTGAGGGCCTTCCCGTGTCCAAAACGCCCCAATTCTTCGTCACTCGGGGGAATCGACCCTCCTGCTTCCGATGGCGTTCTCAGAATTACGATAAAATACAAGTTTACAAAGTTAAAGCCGGTTTTATTCATTTTTGGGGGACCCTGAAGGCTAATTTGCATAATGTGGAAAATAGAAATTTGCTCATTCTTGCAAGTTGCGCTCGCGTGTGAAGTCGGTTGGGGGGTCCGAAGGACCCAAGCTATCGGAAAGTCAATTTCTCAGGCAGGGGCCGCATTCCAGCGCCCAGGGCCCGCGAAGCGGGTTTTGGGCGCTGGTTAGTGATAAATGTTGAAAAATGCTGATTAGCATCTGAAAACCTATTAAGCATAAATTTTGCATGGCACGAGCGATGATTTGCATACGGTTTGATGATTTACATATTCGTTGCTTCTGAACCCTTTTTAGAACCCAGTGAACTTGACTACTGAACGTGAGGCAGCCACCGTCACCCTTTCGCAAGCGCACCACGCCTACGATTCGGCCCTATGGGACTACCAATATGAAGAAATGGTGACCTCGGTCATCTTGAAGCGGCTCCCCGGGCTGCGTTTGATCGAGGAGCGAGCCGTGCTCGCGTTGTGGACGGACAAGGACGCCATTCGGCACGCCAACGAGAAGCCGATGACCGCTCCGCCGTCGAAAGTGCCAGTAAGCACTTTTTTCTTGCACTTTGGCATTTCTGGACACACAAAATCTTGCCATTCCTCCCCCCGATATTGCCAAAGCACCCCCAAAATCCATCGATCTTTGCAGAGGATGGCTATTGCAAGCCGGTCGTTGGAGCGCTACGATGGGAGGATTGTTCGTCGGCTGGCCCACCTGGCGAAGGAAGAGGTCGACGACATCTACAAGGACTACACCTCCGACCAGCTGCAGAAGGTATTCCAATCTTTATTAGACAAACCTTTAATTTGCCCCTTATTGTTTATTTTCTTCTTTCTTCTTTTCCCTCCTTTTTCCGTCTTTTTTTAGTTCATCTTTATTCCTCGACCACAAATTCAATTATCAATGAGAAATTTACTCAACTTTATAGGTGGTTGACGAGTACTTCGAAAACACCGAGAAGGAGCTGATGAAGAAGCTCGACGACGCCGCTGCCACCATGAAAGCGGCGCAGGAGGCCCATTCCAAGGAGGTAGTGTTTTTACTAGTTTTTAGTGTAGTTTGAAGTAGTTTTTGCCTCCTAGAAAGTTACTAAAAATATATATTTTTTTAAAACCGCTGTTTCAGCTCGGCCGCTGCTATGCCTTGGCCCAGTATCTGAAGAAGGAAGCCCGAGCCCTGCGCCGCCGCCCCCCACTACTGTTTCCGGCCGCGCTTCACTTGCTGATGCTCATCCTGTCAACACCGCTGCTCCTGCTCCAATGCCAGTCGTCGTCACTCCTTCTCCTGATGCTACGCTCCCTCCCAAAGTCGGTCCCGTGTTCAAGATGCTCGCCGCGATCGGAACCTATCTGCCTGAAAACCCGATCGAGAACTAATTACTTGCGCTATTTGTTTGTCACTGAATAAAAGTTTATGCTCATCAAAGATCGGACTGCCAGGGCTTATCACGGAGGTTTCGGCTTAGCTTAGACTTGGCTTGGCTTAGACTTGGCTTAGCTTGGGTTTTGGCTTGGTTTGGGCTTGCCTTGGCTTAAGCTCAGGCTTGGCTTAGACTTGGCTTAGGCTTGGCTTGGCTTAGCTTTGGGTTCGGCTTGGCTTAGGCTTAGCTTCGGCTTGGCTTAGCTTGGGTTTTGGCTTGGTTTGGGCTTGCCTTGGCGTAAGCTCAGGCTTGGCTTAGACTTGGATTAGGCTTGGCTTGGCTTAGCTTTGGGTTCGGCTTGGATTAGGCTTAGCTTCGGCTTGGCTTAGCTTCGGCTTAGCTTAAACTTGGCTTGGCTTAGACTTGGCTTAGCTTGGGTTTTGGCTTGGTTTGGGTTTGACTTGGCTTAAGCTCAGGCTTGGCTTAGACTTGGCCTAGGCTTGACTTGGCGTGGCTTGGTTTTGACTTGGCTTAGGCTTAGGCTTAATTTCGACTTGGCTAGGCTTGGACTGCTTAGGTACTACTTGGCTTAGGCTTGGCTTGGGCTTGGCTTAGGCTTGGCTTGGGGTTTGGCTGTAATCAGAATAAAATTCTCAACTCAGATCGGCTACTTAAAATAGATTAGCTAGCTAGGTATAAGCTAGCTATTCGCCGCTATGCCCCCCCGCTAAGAGAAAAGTGTCCATTTTCCGTTTTTCTTGCTTGTAGAAATCTTTCACCTCGCCGAAACGCCATAAGATTTATTCAACAGGCACAATCGATTCGAAAAAGCCGGAATCGCAAAAAAGAATTTATTATGCGAGATATTTGGAGTTGTCGCGATGCTTTTCGGTGGCCATCGGGATCCTTTCCGGGTTGTTCAGGCCGGCCGATTTCTTCGTGTGTTTGCTGGCCGTCTTCTTTTCGTCCTTCTTCTCGTCGGCTTTTCCCCCCTTCGAGTCGTCGGGCTTGCTGAAGATCAAGGTAGGTGTATAAGATTATCGCGAAAAATTGCCCCCCCCCCGCTAACAGCACAGTACCAATTGTGTAGAACTTAACCGAAACAAATTTTTAGGCCTGTAGAACAGTTAAAAAGACTCAGAAACTCTGAAGCTAAAACTGAACTTATAAAAATTACCAGAATTTCAGAAAAATTAGGTTTAAATTGTTAGAAAATGTATGAAAATCGGCTTTTTAAATTTTCTAAAATACTTCTACGACTTTTTTATTCATCAAAAACTACCAAACACACTATAAAACCATAAAAACATTTCTAAAATTTCTACAAACTTGGCGCTAAAAAACTACTTCAAGTAATAGAGAAAAATACATTATAGAACCCTACAAAATAGGTTGTTATATCAGTAGTATAGGTTAATTAGCCCCCCCCCCCCCCCCCCCGATAACAGTCCAGTACCAAACACCGACCCGTGCTTGTTGGGCTTCATCCTGGCGAGCGGGTTGTCCTCTCTGATGTCGTCGAGATCGGTCTTGATCTCCTCATCTGGCGGCTGGTCGTTTAGGCCCCATTTTTGGGCCAAGTCTTCTGAAAAATGTTCTTTTTAGAAGCTACGTAAAGTTATTTTTCCTAATTTTTATATTGTCATGCAAGATTTGGTGCTTTTGCATTATCGGGGGGGGGCTTTTTCCTAGCAGTATTTAGCTAGAAATGCCTAGAAACTTAAAAGTAAGCGTCTTGATAGTGTTTTTAATTTTGAAAAACTCTTTAAAAAATTGGAACAATTCAAATTTGGTCGTCCACCTTTATTTTTCCGATTTTTAATGAAAATTTGTAAGGGTTTTATGTATAAAATTGGCTAAACTCTAGTTTACCCCCCCAGGCGAGATAGTAGGCCTGGGGGAGAGGGCGCAGGCGAAGAGATAGTAGGCCTGGGGGAGAGGGCGCAGAGAAAAGGGGCGTCTGGGGGGTAAACTAGAGTCTTACCATAAAATTAGTAAAAAACAGTTTAGAAACAGGTCCTGACTTTTTATTAGAATAATTGACAACTAAGGGAAAAATAGCTCGCCGTTTTTGAGGGGGCTGAGTACGAGACGCTACTCTTTACCAGCAAACCGTGCATTTCATACATTTTCCCAAATTTGGGCTCTTTTGAGATGCAATTCCCTAGGAAAAAAGCCGAAAATTCGAAGAAAACAAATAGTAATAATTAATAATCAAAATAGTCGATAAATATGCGAAAAACGGCAACCGGACCTCCTCCCTTCTTGTCCTCCTCGGCGTCGCCGGCGTCTTTTTCGTTTTTGACCTTGGTCTTCTTCTCGCGATGCGACTCCCCCTTGCAGAATATCAGGGAATATGAACTGCAAAAGGGTTTTATAGCATTTAAATTGTGGCTAAACTCCAGATAACCCCCCCCCAGCCGACCCCCACCTACCGTATCTCGGCTCCATGTTCATCTACAGGTGTGTAAAGTATACCAAAATACTCGCCAGAGCAAGACGAACATTTTGGTATACTTTACACACCTGTAGATGAACAGGGAGCCGAGATACAAAAGTTGGGTGCCGGCTGGGGGGGGGGGGGGTATCTGGAGTCTTACCTAAATTGTAATACTGAAACGTACGCTAGAAACAACAGAGACAACGGGATAGACATCATGGAATAGAAGATCGAGAACATTCTAGTTCTGCCGAGTAGATTTAGTAGAAAAGGATGGGTAAAAATGTTCCCATTTGGCAAGTGTGTTGGCCTTTTTCAAAATTCTTCACAGCTTTTCCGGATATGCTAATTTTCTAAGAAAATTTATCCATTCTAAGTGCCGTTTTTGGCCTTTGGCGGTAGTTTGTTGAAAAGGAATTCTAGGCATTAGGAAAAGGGGTGCTTTTGCATTATCGGAGGGGGACCAACTTCTTTCTTTAAAATCCCAATTTTCTAGTAAAAATTCTCCAAATAGAGCACGGGGTGCTAAACTGTTATCTACGATATCCTAATCGTCAAATACAAAAATACCTATTTTTCGATTAAAATTTCGAATTTTTCGAATTTTTTAGGTACTAGTTTTTCGATTTTAAATATGGGTAGATTTTGCTATTAATCCTCTTAAAATATTGCGTATTACATTACCAGGCATTTCAGGAACTAAAAATTTCCTCCCCCCTGATAATGCGAAAGATCCGGTAAATCTAAGTTTCCCAAATCCTAAAAATGTTTGATGATTTTTTGGTATTAACATTTTTTAACTTATTATAAAGTAACTATACGAGGATAGTTTAAAATTTTGTTACGCTAGGTTAAGAGTTTACGTCCGTCCGCTTAAATCCCCTCCCCCGCTAACAGACCAGTACCAAAAAAAGCTCTTTTTGCCGCTGGTGCGATATTCCAAGCAAATGGGCCCTCGACTGTCGATGCGGGCCTTTGGCCATCGTCTCCGGGCCACTTATTATGAGTATCCTCGCTCGGGGGTGCAACCTTGAGAGTCTCTCTCTCTCTCTCTCTCTCTCTCTCTCTCTCTCTCTCTCTCTCCCTCTCCACAACCCTCATCCCCCATTTCACACTTCATTTCGCCGCCTTCTATTCATCCGCCGCCCCCCGAGGGCACAGGTGAGCCTCTGTCACTTTTATGTCCGGAAAGCTGGTATGACCTTCGTTTTTTGGATTTTGTGGCTTGAAAAAATGGCATGGTCTGTTGTTGATTTTCTTTATTCATTTTACCCTGGATTTTATTAGATCGTGTGCGGTTTTTGGGCAAGTCTTTTGCTTGCGCCATTACGGCCCGACTTTTAAACTAAGTTTTAGTTTAAAAATTTATATTTAATGTAGAAAACCCCGGGGAAAAGGGCGAAAAATTTAGTGTTGCGGTTCATCTGTACCCAAAGAATTCCCGATTGTCATTTTCAAACGGGAGGGGCAGAGCGGCTGTGACCGCAGCAATGGACGGTCACCCGGAACCGTTGTCCTCGCCGGAAACATCGTACACAATCACACATTTTCTCTCTCTCTCTCTCTCTCTCTCTCTCTCTCTCTTTCACCGCTAGAAAATCAGCCGATTGCGCTACCGTAAGACCATCTGAACTTTATTGGGTGCTTTTGCATTATCGGGGGAGACCAAGCGTCTTCCTTAGGATCCAATTTGGTAAGAGTTTCCTTTAGCTGCGGGGTAAAGTAAACTGTAGCCTTGAATTTTTCTATTCTACAAAACTAACCCAAAAAATATAGATTTTTCGACCAGGATGTCATATAAATTTTTTAGATAACTTTAGACTTCCTGTTCAAATATAGTTAAATTATAGGATATGGTTTTAGTAAAATCACTAATTAAAATAACTGCTTTGCTTTGCTAGTAATTGCTGGATTCATAGTAAAAAGATCCCCCCTATAATGCGAAATAACCGCCCATTTTCAACGTTATTGAATTGCCGCTAGCCGTCCAGCACTAAACCCCCGTATCCCTACTACACCTTCACGGGCCAATGACCCGTAGGTGCTCGCCCTTTTTCAGCGATTCGAAAAAAGTGTGCCCAACGGGGGGCCGTGTCAAATATTTGTTGAAAGGGTTGCACGGATCGGAGGCGCCGGCGGGTGAAAAGGCGTGTTAAACGGTTCGACGCCCCTGCGAGGAGCAAGAGAGGGAGAAGGAGGAGGCCGTCACCTGGAAATTCAACGAGTTTTTCGAAACACCGAATAGCACCCGCTAGGGGCGATGCCGAGGGGGGGAGGGGGGGGGCAAAACTGAAAAGGAGCGCGACTACCGCACGAAATTCGGCCAGGATCTCTGGCTTTTTCTGGAGGGAAGTGGCTGGTTTTAGCGGTATTTTTGAAAAGCCGTGATGCGCAAGCAATAATCCGAAGCATTTCAACGGAAACGCGTTGTTCTATTGCTTTTTTGGCTTGTGATCCTTGGTTTCCGGGGGGACTGTCGCTTTTCTTTCCGGAATGTGGCCAATCAACACGGTCTGCCTTGGTTGTGTCTTGTTGCTAGTGTTGGCGGGAAAGGTCGTTGGCTTACTTTGGGTACAGTCTCTTGCTAAATGGCTGGCAACTAGCCATTTTTGGAGGACAAAAACGTTTCAGTTTTATTGCTCTACTACGATTTACTCCAATTCACAAAGCCCGTTATCAACGGTGTCGTACGTACTGTAGCAAAAAGATCTGGCTGCTTCCCATCACCAAAAGGAGGCCTAATTTTTTCCTAAAAACTCATATATAAGTTTTTTCCCTAGCAATCTAACCGTAACTATTTTAGTAGCGTTATTAATGACATTTAACTCAATTTAAAGTGGAAAAACTAGATAAAAACTTACGCAAATTGGGAATTTTCATTGAAAAACGGCCATGTCTACTTTTGAAAGCTAAGCGCTCGTTCCCTACAAACGTAAATTTGTCTACAAAACCGGCCGAGTTCCCACAGCGAATTCTGCCGCTAAAACTACCTATATCTACCTTTTTGTATCCGTTATCCTTTTCGGGAGCAGAACAAAAAACACTCGAGATCTCTCTCATTCGGCCCTTGGCAAGGGGGCTCAAGTGCCCACCGGCAAACGGTCATTTCGTTCTCGCGTACTGATCCCGAGTTTTTCTCTTTTGATGCGTTTCATTTTCGTTTTTTGAAGGAATGAAATACACAGAATTGATCTAACTTTTACCCCGTTTCAAAATCAAAAAAAGTTCAAAAACAAATTGTTATAATTTTCGCATTTTTTTGAATTTTGGTCAAAGAAGTACTAAAAATCGTCAAAAAATTTTGGATTTTTGAACTTCCCAAAAAGGTTTTGTAGCTTTTTCGGAATCAAAAATACTAAAAATGCTCCAAAATCTCGAGATTTGAATCGAATCTGATTGAGGGTGCGGTCACCCACCACCCAATATCGTCCACCCCCATAAAATTCGAGGGCGATAAAACGCGCAATCTTTTTATGAGATCTCGTTCTCCCCCCGCCGAGGGTTGAGGTTGACTGACTGGCCGGATGGCCAATCGCATCCCGGAGGAGAGGGTATAATGGCCATAGGGTGAATGTTTATGTCCGTGTGGTGGGGGAGTGTCGTTGGTCTTGTCACACTCTCCCCTCAACAAAACCCTTGTCCGCCTCCAAAAACGGCTGAGCGGCTAAGCGTTTCACCCACCTGTCCCTCACAATGGAGAGGGAGAGAGAGAGGGGGGTATTGGGTCCGGGAGTGTGACACTCACTCACCTACTCCAGCCACTACTACCCTTTTTCAATTAAAGCCCTCTGCCGTTGCACCCTGGTCATTTCGTTCCGTTTCTTTTGAAGATATTTTCCCGGGCTTTTTTAGTGGCTTTTTAGGTCTTTTTGAGTAGCATTATCGTGCGGGCACAGGTTTTTCTATAAGTCCAAAAATGCCTAATAAAGTAATAGTAAATACTTTAGTCCTTTTTTAGTTAAATCCAACGACCTTCTAGGCAACTAAATTAAACATTTTAAAAAATTCGAAAATCGGCCAATTTTGGGCACTTATCGCTTATCAGGGGAGGGTGAGGTTACCAAACGCCTTTTAACTATAGAACTATACAAACTAGTAATCGGCAATTAGGAGAAAATGCAGGCGAAAATATAAAATAGCATGCCGCGACTACACGCCCCCCGCTAACAGTCCAGTGCACATTGTAGTTTGATAAATCCATATTTTTTCGGCTTTTTGTGAAACTTTGTAAAGTTTTTGTTCTTAAGAAAGTAAAAAAAACAGTTTAGAAACATTTCCTAGGTTAATATTAGAAAAATTGGATCACAAAGAAAAACGTTAAGATCCCGTCCCAACCCCAATCCCCCGTTAATCTACAAGAACCGATATTTTGATAGTTAGTTTTGCTTTCAGTAAAATTTAGCTAAATTTCCAGTGCAAAAAATTGCGCTAAAAATTTTGAAAAACGCTGAAAAATTCGTAACTTCGTAAAAACGGCCGTTTTGAACCTGAAGACCCCCCACCGTTAATGCATAAGTACCGAAATTTGTACGATTTTTACACTAGCCCAGCAGCGTCAGCATCGAATTCCCATGCCCGACCACGATCTGCCAATCGCGGGCTTTTGACTGCTTCTCCCCCGATCCAGCCGACCCGCATTAGCCGGCTCCATGTTTTTCTAAGCCATTTCGCCCCCGTCCGGCTGGCAACGGGGAGCGGCGGCTTCAGGGCATTTCAGTGGTTTGGTGCCGTGACGCATCATTCTACCCTCATTCTACCCCTATTCCCCATCTCCGCATCCGCCTCCTCTAGCCAATTCCGTTGTGCTACAGAGGGCATAGTCACCCGTTTTTTGGGGTCGACGTCGATGCTCGCGCAGGTTTTACGGAAATTTAGCAAGGTTTAGCAGTTCTGGGTGCTTCCGGGTTGGCTTGGGGGCAGCAAAGAAAATTTTCTGATGGCACTCTCCGGAGGAAACAATCAAGTTTAGCACTTTTCCCAGCATTTTCCAATGGTTTCCACGCAGAAATACTTTAACTAAAACGATTTTTTCCCTGAAAGCTCGACAATCTAAAAACATAGAGAAATTTTGTAATGTTGGTCGTCTGGCAACTTTGGCGCTTTGGCGTTAACGGGCGGGGGGTTCAGGCTCACGTCCTTTCACTCAATTTTGCCGCTCCTAGCTTCCGGCGCGCGCGAATACCTATCCGCGCTGCTCCTTATAGAGCTTCACACCGGATCTCGGCTTTCTTTCCCAGCTG